CTTGGCGTCGCGCAGCGCCTTCTCCACCGGCTCCAGGGTCCCGCGGAACAGGTCGGCGTTGAGCTCCTCGAAGCGGGCGCGGGTGATGGACGTGTAGAAGTCCACGCCCTCGTAGAGCGAGTCGATCTCGATGCTCGCCTGCGTGGACGAGCTCAGGGTGCGCTTGGCGCGCTCGCAGGCCGTGCGCAGCCGCCGCACCGCGCGCTTGTTGGGCGCGATGTCCTTCTTGTGCTTGCGCTTGAACTCCTCCGCCAGATGGCTCACCATGCGGTTGTCAAAGTCCTCGCCGCCCAGGTGGGTGTCGCCGGCCGTGGACTTCACCTCGAAGATGCCGTCCTCGATGGTCAGGATGGACACGTCGAAGGTGCCGCCGCCCAGGTCAAAGATGAGCACGTTCTTCTCGCCGCCCGTGCAGCCCTTCTTGTCCAGGCCGTAGGCGATGGCCGCCGCCGTGGGCTCGTTGATGATGCGCAGCACGTTGAGGCCGGTGATGGTGCCCGCGTCCTTGGTGGCCTGGCGCTGCGAGTCGTTGAAATAGGCCGGGACGGTGATGACCGCGCTCTGCACTTTGCCCCCCAGGTAGGCTTCGGCGATCTCCTTCATCTTAGTGAGGACCATGGAGGAGATCTCCTCGGGGAAGAAGGTCTTGATCTCTCCCTTGTACTCCACCTGCACTTTGGGCTTCCCGCCCTCGCTCACCACCCGGAACGGCCAGTGTTTCATGTCCGATTGCACCGTGGCGTCCTCGAACTTGCGTCCGATCAGTCTCTTGGCGTCAAAGATGGTGTTGGTGGGGTTCATGGCCACCTGGTTCTTGGCGGCGTCGCCGATGAGGCGCTCGGTGTCGGTGAAGGCCACGTAGCTGGGGGTGGTCCGGTTGCCCTGGTCGTTGGCGATGATCTCCACCTTGCCATGTTGGAAGACCCCCACGCACGAGTAGGTGGTGCCCAGGTCGATGCCGATGGCTGGGCCGCGGGCAGACATCCTGACGGAAAGACAGGCAAGCGACGTTAGGCGAGAGCACCCGGCAGAGAAAGTCCCCGGCGTCAACCAACGGTCGCTTCGCGCCACACGCCGCGAGCGCAATCAGCGTCTCCCGCTCCCTTCACTCGGCTCCTCGCTCTTATAGCCGCCTCCCTGCCGCCTTCTGGAAACGCCCGGAGCCAATCGGCTCCCAGGACCGCCCGCCCCAGGCTTGCCTGGGTCGGAGTGACCCGCCCCTGGCCCAACAGATTTCCAGTTGGGTGAGGGGCCGGACCCCGGTCCCCGCGGGTAGGCGAGGGGCGGCCGTTATGCAAATGAGGCCCCTCCCACGTCTCCCAGCAGCCCGGGCCGCCGGCAGCTTGGGGGCGTTAGGCTCGCGCTCCCCCCGGGCCAGGTGTAAGCTTTTTAGCGATCTTTGTCTTTCCTAGGGTGGGATTCGTCGACGTTCACAGGATTGGCAGGGAGCGCGGCCAATGAGCAGCGCGGACTCCCAATTGGGTGGGGAAGGAAAGATTGGGGCGTGGCCGGGGAGGTGCGAGAGGGGAGCTGCGTGGGCTGTTCGCTGGCTCCTAGGGTCCTAAGGCCGGTCGGGCCCGGTGTCCCGACTGCAGTAGGGTGCAGGGGCGGACCAATTCGTTCGCACTTGGTGCGCTGAACAAATTGGGCCGAGCCGGCTCTTTCCTTCCGCGCGCGCCCTTTAAACTCAGGGGCCGGGGCGTTGGCGCGGCCTGGGCGTGAAGGCGGCTCCCCCGCGCGGGGACGAAAGGCTGACTCGGCCGAGCCCTGGCCGGCCGTCGGCCCCTGGAGCCTGCCGTCGCGTGCCCCGTGTCCAGAGGGGACAGTGTGTTGGCGAGGGCTTTCTGGAGGAGGTGACGTGCCTGAGCCAGGCTCTGGAGCTGGCCAGCTGAGAGGAGAGCAGAGGCGTTCTTCGTGTGGGTTGTAGCAGGGGCAGAGATGGGACAGTGCGCGGGGCAACTGCGAGTTCCACACAGCTTGGCGCCACGAGAGGGGAGCGACTCGAGAAACAAGGAGCCTCTTCAGGGGGGCGGGGCCTTCCGTGCCGGCCTTTTTCCTGAGGCTGTGGGAGGGGACACCGTCCTGGGAAGCAGGCTGGTAATATAGGGCCTGAATCAAAGTTGTGTGAAACTGGTGGAGAACGTTTCTGCCTGAGAAACACAAAAGTTACCTGTGACCAAAAAGTAATGTTGACAGAATCCCATAAAGTCAGTCAACGAACATTTAAGTTTCTTTTATCTAGTTCTATATGTAATTTACAATCTTTAAAAAACACATTTGCTATTAATTTTTTAATCTCATTGGTTAAATAGTACAATTGGTAGCTACGATTCCCATCTCTTTTTCCATGAAAGAAGTTAGGGAAATTTTGAACTACAAAACCTTTTAAAGAATGTATTAGGAAAACAAAGATAAAATGTTTCCATTGAAGCTACCTTGAATTATGAGTACATATCTCTTGATTTGCTTCTTGGCAATTCTTGTCTTTTATGTAGTTAAAAAAAAGAGAGGGACTTAGTGAGCTGGAGAACAATCCAAGTTCTTTGCAGAACTGATGATATGAATGTGATTTAGAGACGGGGGCCCAGCTCCAACTGAAGGCAGAAGGAACTGGGAGAAACACAGCCTCTTCAGATCTGGCATTCAGACAGCCCTCACACACTTAGCTCGAGTAAAGCCAGACTGCAAAAAGGCAGACGTGCCAGTCCTCACACACAAACTAAAATGAGAGCTTCGCAAGGGACAGGTTCTTTTTCAAGGCAGCTATGTACTATCTCTATGCACAGTTATTGCAAGCAAATCTTGCAATCTAACCACCACGTTCATCTTTAACACAGTTTTCTGAAACCGCAGTAGCAATTTTATGTACATTTTCATTAGCTATATTTATTTTTTCTGCTGTATCTTTTCACCTAGTAAACTAATATTTCATAAGTTTCATACTTTAAATGGCATTCTGAGCTTTTCCCCCAAAAGACACAGGATTTGCATTTTGATTTTGTATGAAATTTTTGCATTCCAAGAACATGATCATATACTCACCACTCTTGGAATTTTTACATTGTTCCATATTTATATTGATTTTTAAAAAATCTTGATCTACTGTCTTTGATGAGTGTGGCTCAGAATTCATTAAAAACATAGCCTATTAAAAATGATCAAATTAGCAAATTTATGGTCAAATAATATTCATCAGTGCCAGCTATGGTGCAGCAAAACAGGTAAACCCTGCTGGTGGGAATGTCAATTAGTACAGTCTTTCTGGAGGGCAGTGTGACTATTTTTTCTTTACTTTAAAGATGATCATACCCTTCATTTAGCATTACTTGTTGTAGGATGCATCCTAAGGAAATAATAAAATAGGCAGGTAGTATTATTTATGATAACAGCATTCAAAAGGAAATGGCTTAAATATCTGACAATAAGAAAATGATTACATAAACTGTAGTACATCCATATGATGAATTATTATGTAGACATAAAAATTGCTTACAAGAATTGTAATGACACAGGAAAAAGTTGTTGATTTAAGTGGAAAAATAAGACACAAAGCTTTTGTGTCTTCTTTATCCTATGTACAGGATAATCATGTATATGAAAACTGCACCAAAATTGGTTATCTCTAGATGGTAGGATTATCAGTAATTTTTCTCAATTTCCTTATTATACTTTACAATTGATTTTTAAAACTTCACTATTAACATTTCATTGAAACAAAGTTCACTAATCCTACTACTTACTTAGAAATTATTACTGATTTTCAAAGAGTGAAATCTGTTTGGCAGATTATACATACTAGGGTGTTTCAAAGTATTTTTAAAATCCAATGACTGAGGTTCCACACAGTCTGGAAAAAAACAAGAGCTTTAACTTCTGTCAAACCCTCTCTAATTTATCCCCGGCACCCAGAAGAGTGCCTGGAACACAGTAGGGAGTCACTTGCTCAATGTTTGTTAAAAATGACCAAAGGTACATTATTTGACCAAAAAATGTGAAATAATAACTTCATTTTTTCTCTGTATAAGAAGAAGGTTCTCTGCCTACCTTGTATGTTTCTGTACTAAATAATACTGCAGAGATCAAAAGTTGAAACTAATTCCCATTGGAAAATATTTATACTAAAGATAGAGAGATGCCTGGGATGCGGTCTAAAAGTCTGCGTGGGTAGTCAGGCCTACCCTAGGGAGACTAACTGAGCAAGAATAAATTTTTCTGGAATTACTAGGAAAAAATATTTATGGATTTTCTGGAACCCTCTCAATCTCTACTCAGGCACAACCGTCAAAAAGTTTGTGAGGGGCTGGCCTGGTGGCCTTGTGGTTAAGTTCACACACTCTACTTCACGGGCCAGGTTTACCGGTTCAGATCCTGGCGTGGTCTTACATTACGCACGGCTTACCAAGCCATGCTGTGGCAGCATCCCACATATAAAGCAGAGGAAGATGGGCACAGCTGTTAGCTCAGGGCTAATCTTCCTCAAAAAGAAGGTTCTGGGTTGTTTTGAGGAGGTAATGTTGGCCTGAAGAGAAGGTAGAGTGAGTAGCAGCTTATAATTTGAGGACCTATGAGCAAACTGAAGTCAAACTAGTTATTATATTTAAGATCTCTATAAATACTGCCATTTTATAATTCTTTGGAAGTACCTGTCCCAAAATATTTCTCCAGTCACCTGTCACTATAGGAAAAATTTCACCATTTGTTTCGAGTCTTGAAAAACTCAGTCTTTAAAAGTTACAATTAAATTGTAGATACAGAGTAGTGTTGGGTAGGACACTGCCAGGTCTGGCATGGAAGGCTGTGAGACCCAAACCTGGACGAGAGGCCATCCTAGAAGAGAGGTGAATCTGTGAGAAGTTGTACCTATTTCAGTTTTGTAGAGAATGCTAACTTCGAGGATAGACTCTCTTGGAACCTGAAACAATCTGAAAGAAGTGAGGCTGCTGTCTTACACAAGGAGAATCAGATTCAATATGCCATTATTGTCAATACTTATGAAATTCTTATGAAATTCTGGCAATCATCTTTCAAGACAGCCCTCAAATGAAGAGAATACTCATTGCTGATCACTTGGAGGAAAAAAACACAACTTAAACTCTTAAACTGAAAAAAAACAAGATGAATTATACTGGTAAGGAAGTTATTTCTCTGAATAAATTGTTTGTTAGCTGCTCAGGAACACTATAATTATATCTGTACTTTATTATTTTGGTATTAGAGAAGGGAGGGAGTTGAGGATAAATTCTCAAATAACTTTTTAATAGAGCCAGGTTGAAAAAGTACAGGGTAAATAAAATATACAGACAGTTTAACTTCTGAACATAGAGAAGGAAATTTTATTAGGTAAAAGCAATGGATTATAAAATGTAACAAAAATTCTCTATGTAACCCAATAACTCCATTTTTTGCTAATATACAGAAAATAATCACATTATAGAATGCATTTATATCACTCAATTATTGTAATTTATTACATTTATAATTTAGTACAGTCAAAATTTAAGCCATATTTCTTTTGTAAATCGAATTCCACCACCAGTCAATCAAAAATTATGTGTTGAGTCTCTACTATATTATCTGGAACCTTTAATTATTGATAATATTCTTTTATCTTTTCTGTTTCCTATTTGTTAGAAGTCTGCAGTCCTATAGGCTTCCTCATGCTTCCAAAAGAAATTACCTATAGTTCTTTTTTAGAGTTTAACACTTCTCTAGGCTAGTTTTATTTCTCTTAAAGCAGTTGAATTCATATGAAGTCTTTAGTGGATTTCTCTTCTCCCTTCTCACCCCTATACCTACTATCACATTCTAATGAACTCTTTCTCTGATTTTTTTTGTTAGTCTAATTATTTGAATATTCAAGTTATCATCCTGCTTTATAGCTAAACTTTAAATGACTTAACTTCTGCATATACTATTATAAAGTATACTCTTAAGTTAGATCTCTTTGTGCAAATCCTTATTAAAACATTTGAAGAAATAGGCATAAAAACAAAATAAGCATTTCTGAAAATATATAACATCTTGATATTGCACAAGAAACAATAATAAGGAATTGGGTACACACTTAACCAAAAGTAAAACTACAAGTATATTCACAATAAGGAAATAATAAGGCTGTAAGGTCCATATGGTTAAGAATGTGTGTATGAGCATATATGTATGTATATATAAAAAAAAGTATTTGTAGCTAGGTTAAAAGCTCACCAAACATTCCATTTCCCCATGAAAGGTTTTAAAACATGTTAACCATTGTTTCATTCAATACTTAGTTGAATTTTATCTTGAAATTTGAAAGCTGAGAAGCATGGTATTTTACATTAATATCAAGAATAAATGTTTAGCGGAAACTCATTCTGCCTTAGTAGGTTATATTGCTAACTTAAGAAAATAATCTGTCTTAAGATACATTCTTTTTGGTTGCCTGTGATTTGTGAAAATGTACCACTATTAAAGTAATACCACTTCTGTTTTTCCTTCAAGTTAACAGACTTAAAAGCGATCTTCATTAATATTAATAATCAAGTTCGTGACTGGTATACACAGTGAAAAAGGAGGAAGGGCAAATGTTACATAACAGTGAGTAATAACTAGATTATCTTTTCTTGTTAAAATGTTAGTCTTGCATTTTTTTTCTCTGTACCCACATCTCTTATTTATACTCCTAAACTACAGATTTTGGGGTGTAATTTTTTAAATTGTCTAACTACATTTCATATATGTAAACTGTAATTCAGATTATTTTAAGTTTAGAATTATATGTGTTTACACAGATATGTGACTATCTCTCTTTAAATATATTTATAGTAGCCTAGCAAGCCCTTTTATTTTAGAAGGGACCCTTGACGATAATTAGGATATAAAGTTTCATTTTAGTGTAGCTTTAACCACTGATGTCGTATGAATATTCTAGTTACTTTTCTTTAGCAGATTTTCCACAAATACTAGGAGAGTCACCATGAATCAATTTTGTCACAAAGTGATTCCAAAGTGGTCTTTACTGAGTTTTCTTGGATCCTTGTAACTGGAACTTTTGGGGTTGATGAGGTTTGTCAGGAAGACAGAAAAGATGGTGTCACTTCAGATCTGATATTCCTGGGTCTGGACTTAAAGATTATCTGCTGAAGATTGATTCTTCCCCATGTCCTCTCCAAATTCAGATCTCACTTCTCCAGAAGTTTAGAAGGCCCTATTTCACCACTGCCACACAGAAAAAAACAAAACTCAAGAAAAATAATATTACAAGTTGACTGCTCTACAAGATACAACATAATTCTTAGGTCAGAATTTCATGGCTTTTGGCACCAGGCCAGCACACTGTTAACAGAACAAAGAATGGGAACAAAAGCATAGTTCCTAGAACTTAAATTTATTTAATTTCTTCTCCAGTGTAACTCATTGTACCCTTCAAATATAAGATGTCTTATTACTAATATAATTCTCCAGCTGTAGGGACACCTTTTTTTTTTTTCTTGCATGACCTAAGCTGGAATGAGTAGGGCACATAAATAAGTAACATAAAGACAATAGGTCAGCCAGGTAGAGGAAAATAAGAAGGAAGGAAGGAGTTAAGAAGTGTTTTCCTTGAAATAAAATAATTTTACACTGTACTTTAACTTGTTAATGGCAAATCTCTGATTGAAAAATAGTTCAAATTTAAAAGCTCATGTTCTTTTTTACTGAGTGACTTCAGTCATCAAGCTAACATTTTCTTCAAATATTAAGTGTTGTATTTTCTGCAAATGAAAATAAAGTTCACACATGCGTGCACACCCATACATGGAGGAGGAGTTTTCCTCGAATTCCTAAGTTCATAAGTCTCTTAACCTGCCCCAGTGATTCTGGGTAGAATTATATTTTTTGCAGCATTGCTTTGCCCTAATTTTTTAAAAGAGAGATTGCCTCCTCTAAAATATTTTTTCCCCACATCAGGGAACACATAAGCATTTGAAAGAAAAGATGACTTTCATAATCTGGATGCTTAGAATTATGTTTCTGTCGTCTAAAAATGAGCTCTGCTGAGTTCTAATTGGTATAAGCAGTTGGTTTAAGGAGGATAAAAACAACGCAGCAGCTTTTTAAACAAAGCTCAACTGGAGGCTTCATAGGCTGTCTACCTAATTCTCTTCCTTTCTCGAATAGGTAATACACAGTTATGCAAATTTTCACATAAAATTATTAATATTCCTGACTCTGAAATGAAATCATGTCTTTTACATCTTTGTCGTCCTTTGGCCCTAGAGTTTCCTGTGACCTGTACTTATTACAGTGGTGATTAGTACATTGATAATTCAATTCAGAGCCAAGTACTGAATTGTAATCTTCACACCATCTTTTTTGTCAGCAAATGAGTAAGATAATGAGAAATTATAATGAGTTCCTGCCCCCTAGTGATCTGCGGTGGTTTTGATAGAAAGGATGAACAATTCTGTCAAAACTAATGGACCTCAATGATTTTGTTCTCTTGAATATATTAAGGGAACAACATAATGGGATTTAAACTTCTTAGTACTAAAGTCAACTAAGCATGTGTATATAATTATGTAAGTAGTATTAACTTGGTTCAAAATTAGCATGAATTTACAAGCTGCTGTTGTCATTTAGTTAATATTTACATTTATCAATACTCACAGACACAAACATTCCAAATCTTCGCATTTTTGCCTCTTGCTAGGGTATACGTTTCTAAGTAGCTAAATTTCATCTGGTTTTAGTATGAGACTACCCATGTTACCAAATAATATGTCCTTGAGTTTGATAGAAGGCAATGGAAGTGGGCCACCCAAGTGATAATATAGACATTTTCCATGGAATCTCACCATCTTATTCTTCTATTCTCACTTAAAAAATAACATTTGCAGATGGCAGAGAGATCGTTAAAGTAGTAGATTTAACATAATTTTAGAAATCAGGCAATAGATGCATAAAGTTAAAATCAGATTAGATTGGGAGGAGAATTTTTTCACTTAAACCATTAAATGAAGTATTCATTTTTTTAAAGTTTGCTGTTAGGTTAGGGTGGATATACAGCTGTCATGTCCTGAAATTATCTTTCATTTCTTTTACAAGCAAGACTGTCTTTATAAGTTTACACTAGAAATCCATATATGTTTTTGGTAAATTGAATTATAGATGGCTAGAAGAACCAACTTTTGTTTTAGGCAGACTTAGATTGCTCTATAAACTTTAATTGAATCAATCACAATATGATAATTAGCGATTTTGTTTTGTTTGTTTAGCCAAAGAAAGGGAAAATTTCTTATCCACGTCATCTGTTAAGGCAAAAAGAGGAAACGGGCTATTCTGGGGTCCTGGATTTTCTTGGGACTATTTTCAAATGATCTAAGTTATTCAACTTATCAGTCTGATAACCAATAAAAGGAAATGGTGATTGGTGGGAGAGATTAAAACATAAAGGTCAGGAATAGGGAAAACAGATGGGGAAAAAGTCACAGAGGTAGAAATATGGAAGTTGAATTCAAATGAATTTTTAACTGAGCACCTATAAAGGGCCCCAAAAAGTGGCTGACGATACCACTAAATGTTTTAAGTTTAAACAAATGAAATTAAAACATCAGTATTTAGTATTTATTTCTAAAACATCATTCTGAATAACCCATTCAAATAAGTTTTGTTTTCGACTGATATATTTTCACATTATTCAACATGTTCATTAGGGACCCACTGTTACCAGCCACCTTACCAGGCACAGCAGATGACAGATGATGAACAAAGAGCACAGAGTCTCACAGGAACTTTATCACATGTGTTCCTGGGATGCAAAGGCCCTTCTTTGTACTTCTTGGTAGGTGAAGTATGTAGCTTAGTGGTTAAGTACAGAATGTAGAAACCAGGTAGGTCTAGGTTCAAATTCCAACTCTAGTATTTAGCTTCTGTATGTTCTTAGGTAAAATACTCAGTCTCTCTGAACCTCAGTCCCCCATCTGGAAAATTATAATGATACTTACCTCATAAGGCTGTGAGGATTAATTAAAACTACCTATGTACAGCACTTAGCAGAGCATAAAGAGTGCTAACTAAATGGATGCTGGGATTATTGAGAGTCCTAGATGTATGGATGATGGGTTTCCAAATCTGGGGTGCAGCTTCAAGGTCTTAACACCAAATATAACTCTATTTGCTTCAGCTCCTTGGCGTTCATCCTGTCACTCCCAGTCTACTGCATTTCAGGGATCAAGGAGATGGGAGACATTCCACAAGGATATGTTCCCAAAAGCTTTTTGGTACCCCAGAATCCTAGGCATTGTTAATGCTAGGGTTCCTGCAGAACACTGGCATTTATCACAAGAAGCATCTGTTACAGAGGTGGGGGTGGTGAGGAAAGAAGAGGAACTGATCAAAGTAGATTAATGGCAAAAAAATAAAAAAGAATTTTAACTCATGCAACCCGTTTAAAATTAAGAAATATGCCGAATTTCTTTATTCTCAACTATAAGTGTACATACACATTTGGGTTTTTTCTTTGGGTTGGTACTGATTTAGCTTTTTATTAACAATGGCAAGTTTTATGTTTAATTTAACTGTTACATTGATTCTTTGGGGAGTTTTCCAGAGATCTATTAAGTATGGAAGTTCCTTAACTAGTGATATAGAGGAACAAATATTATTTAACTGGGGGGAAAGTTGCCAACCACTACCAGACTCTCTTCCCACTTTTTTAGAATATAAAAGTTGGTATATTATCTCAAGTATTTAGGGATATCTTTGGCATGTTCTTAACAATTATTCATTAGGCATTCTATAGCTCTAATTGAATTATTTAAATCTATTCAAATTACTTCAATCTCTACTCCTCTCACCTAGAAAATTTCAAATTTTTTTTATTCAACTTTTATATCTTGTTCATATTTTTGTTCTCAACTACAGTACTTAAATATGATTTTTTATGTCAGTCTATTATTTTTCCTTTTAATTGGTCCTCTGACTCCCCCAGGAAACTCTGTCCTTATTTTAATTCTTTTCCTTTTATAACTAGCCCCTGGAGTCCTTATATTCTTTCTTCTAATTTTTGTTCTTACTCAAACTTCCCACATTAAACATTAGCCGTATACCATTTTACTCATATGAGTCATTTCTCTGAATATTTTTACTTTAAAAATATGGGAGAGATTAAGACAAACTTCTGAGTCCTAATCCACTGCCGCCTTGGTTGTGCTTTATTAATCTCTGAGATCCTTAGTCCTGTTTACTAAAGAAAAATAAACATCTGAGTTGCGTTGCACTGTAATTGGTGGCAAGCTTGTTAGGCACTGACTCCGTTCTTCTAGAATTTCTTGCTGGAGAAAAGGCCCTTTAAGCAAGACTGTTTGGGAGACAGAAAGAGAAACAAGATTCCACATATATCTATCTAGATTTTCCTTTCATTTTTAGATTTGGAGTCTAATCACATAAGTTATAAAGGCAGGAGGAGCAGGCAGCTTCCACAACCTTGATTCACTGCCTTCACAGCACTGGAGGGCATGAGGCAAGAATAAGGGCTTACAGCTCTGTAGCTGCACCCCAGCAGCGGGGGGTGGGGAGAGGGGAATGGGAGGATACTTGGCTGGAGAGAGGTGTTGCCTATTTTTCATTCCCCCTACTTCTAAAAATCAAGTAGCCTTTAAAAGAACTCTTTGCCTTAATAACGAAAATTGCACATTATACTTAAAGCCTGTGCTGCCCTGTAGCTAGTTCCAAAACAAAACAAAGGTGTGTGTCCTGTGTAACGTGAAACTGGGAGAAAACATCATCATGAGGTGTAGTTTGTGAAACTATAAACATCTCAGTTATGTAAAATTAGATTATGTTTAATGTTTATATATTTGCTTGCTAACTGTTGGCTGTTACTACGTGTCAAAACACTAAAGTAAACCCCCTTTCCTAACGGAATAGACAACCCTTTTTTGCAGAGTGGTAGTATTTAGAAAGAACCCTGTTCTTTACGGTGGGAAAGCCATTGGAATAGATTTTGATGAAACTCATGGAAAAAAGTGATCCCACAGAAAATTATGTCCACTAAGATACTATGTAAACAGTTTAGAAATCTGGTTTGAGTTTCTCGCTTTACACTACTCTCTGACAGTCTCTAGGCTTGTTACAGAACTTTTATCAGGTTCCTATCAGTAATGATATACCATGTTTCATTTTAAGTTGCATTTCAGATTTAATTACTTTATAAGCTATTGTATCCAAGACTAAGATGAATCATTTTCCCTGCTTTTTCTGCTATGTGGCTTTTTAAAAAATTCCTGATTTCTCATTTATCTTCTTGTGTATTTCCCCCATCTCTACTTCCCATTATTTTAATACTGCCTGACTTCCATACTATTCCTATTCTTACTTGACACCTCAATGTATCCCCACAAATCTCTGAGCTCATACCATGCTCTAATACTTCTCTTTCAACTAAGTCTGTGCTAGTCAATATGTCTCTCAATTCTCTTGGCAACCTGTTCTTTTATGCAAATTGTATACAAAAATATGACTTGCATATCTTAAAAATCTGATGTAAACAAAAAGAGCAATGCTGTTAAATTACTGTTCATATCACAAAATTATACTTTTAAATATAGGAGTTATTTAAAATCCCTTTCATTATGAGAAGGGTATTACAATGCAAGTAATTCACGTTAAAAGGCATTCTATTCAATAGACGTGTTTATTGGTGAGCCAGTTTTGCCAGTGTTTTAATTCACATGTAATTCATGTAGACCCTGTATCAGCAACAACTAATACTACTTTAACTAAAAAATGATAAATTATTTCCATTTATATCCTCTGTGATTATTTTATAGTCCTCAAATTTTGCAGTCCTTTACAGAAAAAAATAATAAAGCATGGTGATAAACTGCAATTTGCCATAACACATTTTCTCCAAATCTTAGATAGTATAAAACACAAAGACTTTTTTTTGCACACTCTGCTTTTATAGAACAACCAGATCTGTAATTGATTTCTTTATTTTATTAGATTTATCAATATACATGGCAGCTTTCTCAAATCTCAAGTTCCAAAAGTATGTAATTTTAAAGGTGAAAAATCATTTTCCTTTAGATGTCATATTCCTAGAGAGCTATTAAAGTCTATTTATAAACAAAAATAATTGATAAACTAACACACTTTAGAAATCAGAATATTTTAAATTATTTTAAATGAATACAAGATATGTCTTTTTAATTAACTATCATAGTTAAATTTAATATCACAAAACAAAATGACTTGTCCCCACTAACTTCTCAAGTGAGGTAAAGTCATTGGGTTTTACACTTAATATAAGTTTTAAATGTGATTATTAAATGATAATATTTTATCAATTATAGGAAATATTCATTTATAGGAATTTCCTTAGGTCCATCAATCTTTTTAGGCCAAGTTTGAGCCCATGTCAACCTTCAAGGTTAGATTCAGTACATCTAACCTACCTAATAAACTTGTCGATTGAAGAATATGAATTTCATTGATAAGAAGGGGGAATAAACAGTGTTTATTAAATCACTGTTCAATGTACAAAAAGAAAAAAAGCTGAAAGTGAATGGGATAGTTTCCAATAACTAACTACTTGATTTTTTTTTTTTAATTTAAACAGGAATGGCCAATGATGCTGGGTTTAAAATTTCACAGAATAACTTTAAAAAAAAAAAAACACATAGAAATAGTGACGTCATCACCTTATTGATAAAAAACTAAAGTTTAATAGTCATTGAAGGGGTAACAACCACTTATAGTCTACATTTAAAAGTAATTTTAATCATAGCTAAAACAAACTAAAAACAAAGAATTCTATTAAGAAATAACAAAAATGATAAACATTTAATAACACCTAAATTGTAGATACTTAAGATCCTAAACAAAAATATTAAAGATAAAAGGGCCTTGAAATTTTTTTCCAACAATTCATCTTATAAAATCAATTTCTAAATAGCTCATATCCTTTGCTTTGGTGTTTTGTCTGCTATCAACTAAACATTAGTACAGTAGAAAATCACTTAGGTTCTTTTCAAATGCTTGGCATTATAATGTGATCTCATATCTTTCCTCAAATTAAATTTTGCTCCACATATTCCACATGTATACAGATGAACATCCATGTGCTGTTCCAACTGTTCATTATTTGGGAATATCTGAAAGCAGACCTGGCATATAGTCTCACCAGCAGATAAATGAGAAATCATATGCCGTACATGGTCATGTTTTCTGAAGTTGCCTTGATCACAAATGGAACAGACATACCTGGCCATGCCTTTGTGCATATCATTGTGCAGTCGCAACTGACGTTCTCTTAAAAACTGCTTTCCGCATGTCTGACAAACAAACTGTTTTTCCTTAGTATGAACAGTATAGTGTTCTCTTAAGTGACACCGCTGATAAAATCCTTTTCCACACAGATTACAAAAATGCTTTCGTCTGTGATCTCTTTCATTTTCTTCCAAGATGGCACTCTTAAACATATCTTGGTCTAAGCAGCTAGACATGTGTTCAACCACTAGATTTTCAGTTTCAAAACGCTGGCCACAATTAGGACATCGAAAAGGACAGGCAGAATGTTTAAATAACTGCTTTTTTTGGATACTGTTTATCTGGAAATGACTGTCCCTAAAATCGTCCAACATTTCAACAAACATATCTCTTATTTCAGACTGCTCATCAGGATTCTCTTCCATGTCCATTTTCTCTTCAGTATTTCCTAAGCCATTCATCGTCAGATCTTGGGGTTCTCCACATCTCTGAGCATGTTCCTGAAGTTGTCTCCCCTTAACAAGTATTTGTCCACATTTACCACATGCACAGATATTTTCAATATGTTTGGCTAAGTAATGAGATGACAGGTCCTCCTCAGTTATTGTGAGTCCACACAGCTCACAAGATGCATTTTCAGTATCCTCTTGCACTGGACTGCTGTTGTTAGGGGGCCTCAGGTTTTCTAAACCACCTCTCTCATCAGCATTTATCGACATCCGAGGTTTTAGAGTTTTCCTACCACTTTTTTTAATACTGACATCTTCTTCAACATAGTATCTGTAAAACGGCTCTTCAGGCTCATCTTCTAACTCATCGTTGTCAGTGGAGTCATTGCAGTCTTTATCCGTAACTTTAATAATGTTGAAGTCTTTCAGCTCATCTGTAGGAATATCTTCTGGCTCCATCTTGATAATGATTCTCTTCCTCTCAGCAGCTCTGCTTTTTTCCTCACTGGCCAGCTCAGACTCCACCGTGCTACTTTTTCGGCTTCCAGTGGTAGAAGTTGAATCATCAGCAGCCTGGCTTGTGTCTCCTCTGTATTTGTCCGTCTGTGCAGAAAATGTTTTAGAAGAATCCTTTTCACCAAATTCAGCTTTGATATTACTGTCTTTTCCATCTCTAATATCTACTATTCTGTGATAGGACCTTGTGTTTTGGTATGAATGTCTGTTAGTACAGGTTAGCACATGCTCATCTAATAATTTTTCACAGCTAAAGCCAAATCCACAACTATCACAGGTAAAACTCCGTCCAAAGCGTCGTGATACACGTTCTTTTGGAGTAGACAATTTGGACACAGAACTTTTTTTACATACATCAAATAGTGGTTCAGGAAAATTACCTAATTGTAAAGACTCTTCATCAGGCTCTCTATTATGTGGTGTATTTACTGTTGAACTTGGTTCTGCACACCACCTATTAGCTTCATTACCATTTCTAGCCACAGTGTCTTCATACATTCTTACCCCAAATATCATTTTGCTGTTCTGTTTGCTAGAAGCAGAAGATGAACACTTCGAACTAGAACAGTCTGCATCCTGTATGTCCTCTAAGCAGTCGGGAACATTGTACAGCTGCAGGTAGTTCATTGCCACTTTAAACTGCTCAAAACTGGAGGGAGCTGTCATAATTTTTCCTAAATACATAAATTGCAAAATGAGATCAAAACACTCAGCACTAATTTTCATGTTGCTGAGATTCAGTTGTGCAGTACTGTGCTGATGGTTCATGAAAAACATTCTAAAATAGGAGCTACAAGCAGCTAAAACTGCTTTGTGTGCTTGAAAGTAAATGTCATCAATTGCAATACAACAGTCACAGAGAAAACCCCACTCCCTTTGGTTGTTTAGCTGCTGAAGGACGTAGCTGCTGTGGCTGGGCTTTGCCATCTTCTATTAATTAGAGACCTATGTAAAACAAAAATATTAAAGTCAGACAAGATATCAGAAAAGCACTTGAAAAAAAGAATAATTTTGATCATGATTTGTGACTATTGTGATTTTGCTATTACAATCAAGGTATGAGGAGCTTTTCATTCTAACGTAGCAAAACTCAGTAATATATACTTGAGTCATTTTTTAAATTTGAAGATGAAGACACCCAGCCATTTAAACTTCTCATTTGATTTTAAGAAATACAAGCAAAAACCATCATTTTGGTTTCATTACAACTCTAGGGGGAAAAATGTATACTAAATTTGAAAGAAAAAAAGACACTAGTTTAAAAGTGCAAGAAGGATACAAACAGTGAAAGTAAATAAAATAGCAACCTAAATTGAAAGTTAGTAACTAGATTGCAGAGTATTAAAAACTTCTTAGATGACTGATATAAAGGAATTTTTTTCATTTAAGTGTGCTGAAGGTATTTTGGTTGTGTTAAAAAAGAGTTCTTATTTTTAGATATACGTACTGACATATTTATAAGATGAAATGATATACCTAAGATATGCTTGAAAATAATCCAGTGTGATGGGTGTGGGAGCTATAGATTGGCCATGTGTTGATAGCTATTGAACCTGAGAGGCAGGTACAGTTCAATTTTTGAATATTTCCATAGAAAAAATTCTATTTAAAAACCTTATTAGATTATATGGAAATGGCACCAAGCAAATAGGTTTGATCAATGCTTTCTCTTTTCTTGATGATCGGAGCAGTAATTCTGTCGAGTCAGAATATCTGTCTTATGTCGCTCGGCATGCACTATGGGTGTAAAGGAGCAGCAGGTCTATTTGACAAGGAGGTATCTAGCCTTAGACTGCGAATTTTCCTTCATTTTTTGTTTAAGAAAAGTATACAAAATAACACATGCTCATTGCAAAAAATTCCAACATAAAAGTACACAGAATAAAAACACACCTTAGGTCACATACCTCTTCTGAGAGGTAACCTCTGCAAACAGTCGGGATTTTCTATCTTCAGATCTGTTTCTATGTATACATACAGAGTCAACAGATACTGAGTACCTGCTATGCGCCAGGCATGTAGTTTTGCTTTTGTTGTGTGTGTGTGTGTTTTTTTTTTTTTTTTTTTTACCTAAATGGTATCATACTATATATACCTTTTTGCAACTAGTTGTCTTCACTTAACAACATATGGTAGACACCATAAGTATTTTTAAAGTAGGGAGTTGAGTTTGGATAAAGGAGAATGGAGAGGAAAATATTAAAAGCAGCAGAAGTCCTATCTATTATATTACGTAGCAAAACTACGATCCAATTTTTGCCTCAGTTTTTAATCTGTATACATAAAACTTCAGAATCTATCTTCTACTTAAAAACAAGCCCCTACACAATTTGAACATAAAAAGAACATTTAACAAGCTGTTCAGAGGAATAAAATGTTCACTCTTCAGTCCCCAAACCCTTCAATCCCTGTAGTAGTAATTAAGAGAGGATCTAAATTTATTTACTGCCACTTGTTTTTTCTCTCTTCACCACAAATCACGTGCGGATCACATACCCTTTTCCCCCACTACCTAAAGACCCATCCTGCCTCCTCTTCCTGCCTAACGACAAAGAGCTGCATAGCCAGGAGTGTGTGTCTGGTGAAATGAAGGTGGCTTATAATGAGACCTACTGCCTTCTTAAAATTGCAACCACTGTACCTTTTCTGTAAGCCAGATCAAGTACTTCAAGTAGGTACAATATGTCAACCTTTTGTAACTCAGATATCTGTTCCAAAACTGTGAGGAATCATGTTCAGTACGTACCTAAATACAAAAAGCAATGTATGCACCAAGATGCTCATGTGTTATTTATAGTTTGAAATGCCTGGTAATAAGGGAGTTGTAAGTAAACCAAGGTAAATCCACTCCCTAAAATTCACTGTCATGTGGCCTTTAAAAATTATACTTATGAATGAAGACTATAGAAGAAAATGAGAAAAGTTTCAGGATGGAAACCCGCAAACAGAAGATATAAAATTGTTACATTTACAATTATATAAAACAAATCCAAACAACAACAAAAGCGTATTCAAAGGGTTGAAAAAAGAAAAAAACACCCCAAACCCACACAAGCCCTTTTTATATAGGATGAGATTTCTAGGCCTATCATCATACTATAGGATTCGGAGAATAAAAAGAGGCAAAGGGATAGATATTATCTCAAACAATTTTTTCTAGCAATAAGAGTTGTTCAAAAGTGAAACAAACTCATTCAGAGGATAATGAACGCCCTGTATGGAGGCAGGGATGAAACGTTGTGAGTACAGCATAGCACAGGGAAAAGGGCGCAGGCTCTGGGTCAGGCGACCTGAGTTCCAATCTAGCTCTGCCACCTTCGGTAACTTGTTTATCCTCATTGACCCCAAGTTTCCTGAACTGTCAAAGTGTTCAAACATGAGGATTCACAGATGCAATGTGTAAAATGTATATAGGGCTTGGCATGTGACAATTAACGGAAGTAAAAGTGGCAGTTGCAGTGCTGGTGATGCTTTTTTTTTTTCTTTTTTTTTCTTTTTCTTTTTGAGGAAGATTAGCTCTGAGCTAACTGCTGCCAATACTCCTCTTTTCGCTGAGGAACACTGGCCCTGAGCTAACATCCATGCCCATCTTCCTCTACTTTCTATGTAGGACGCCTACCACAACATGGCTTGCCAAGTGGTGCCATGTCTGCACCCGGGATCCGAACCAGCGAACCCCGGGCCGCCTAAGCGGAAGGTGCACACTTAACCGCTGCGTCACCGGGCTGGCCCCTGGTGATGCTTATTTAAGCATCAGGAGGTAAGTTTGATTAGATAACCTTAAAGTTTCCTTCCAAATAGGAGCCCAACAGTATGAAAGCCAGCCGTTAATCTGTAAAAACATTCAGGTTTTAAATATCCTGTGCTTGAAATAATGACATAAAGAGACTAAAAGTTCCAAGGACCCTTCTAATCTAAATGAAAAGTAGTTTTATGGTCAGCAACCAAAATTAACGCAACTACACAGAAGACCCACATGATAAGCACCTCTGTAGCTATAGTCACAATTCAATTAAATTAGTGAAAACGTATACATTCTGTGTTAACACAAACAAAACACTAAAACAAATAAGAGCATCAATAGCATTTTAATGCACACTTATTAATTCAACAAATATTTATCAAGTATTTGGTGTACCAGGCATTGTATAAAGTACAGAGAATCAGCAACAGCACAGGTGTTCTGTGATCTCAAGGATATATGGTTGAGGAGAATTTTGACTTGTACTCTGTCTAAAATTAATGCTAACACTACAGCTTCCAGGCTGACCTAGATCTTTGGTTTCATCAGTGTTATTATGCAAATGTCCGAGTTGTGAGTAAAACTGAATTTAGCCAGAGGAACTTTTAACAGCAATCATTCACACGTTAGAATCAGCAACTTTGTTCTTGTTACACCTCATTCAGAAAAGCTTTAAGAAGGCTTAAAAATACCAAAAGAAAAAGGGCAGAAAGTGGAGTCAGGGGTGAGGGCTCTAAATCCCTGTGAGATTTTTAGGTTGTTATCTCTTGAGAATAAATGTGTGTGTGTGTGTGTGTGTGTGTGTGAGGATGGTTGGTCCTGAACTAACATCTGTTGCCAATCTTACTCTTTTTGCTGGAGGAAGGTTGTCGCTGAGCTAACATCTGTGACAATCTTCCTCTATTTGATGTGGGATGCCTCCACAGCATGGCTTGACTAGTGGTGCTAGGTCTGCTCCTGGGATCTGAACCTGCAAACCCCGGGGCCGCTGAAGTAGAGTGCACAAACTTAACCACTACACCACCAGGCCGGCCCGAGAATAATTTTTGCATTAAAATTTTTATAATTAATTTCATTTTTATTAAACAATAATTTCACCCAAATTCCAAAAGAAGTTTCCAATTTTTCAATATCCTTAATGTACTCAAAAAACTTAGTGAACTTTGTTATAGCAAAGCTTGTAAAGAATTTTACATAAAAGGATTGCTGTATTTCAACTGTCCTTGTTTTTATACCTGAAACCTGTGATTGCTCTTGTTGGTGTCACTAGATGCATCACTGGCAGAGCAAGTTTATTACAGCTGGAAGTCAAGGGTGGGGCTGAGAGCAGAAACTTCAAGTGTGAGCCAAAGCCCAGGGTTCTCCTGAGGCTGGAAGGACAGCCAGTGTGCATGTGGCTCTCTAGCAAGAACATGCAGTTAGGTGATGCAAAAAATTCTACACTGGATTTTTTAAATTTTAGTTTGAAAGTTTACCAGCTCATCTCAAATTCAAAAGCAGCCACCAAGCACCTTAAGCATATTAAGTAATTTAGATATTCATCAACTTTTAGAGCTTAGAGAGATCTAATCTAGTCCAACATTCTTATTTATAGAAGAAAGGCAAAGATCTAGGGCTGCTAACAACGTATCAAGGGTATAGTTAACTGTGGTAGAGTAGGTACTAAGACTCCTGACCACAGACAGGTATTAACAACTTGGTACTACACCGTGTGCCCTTCTACAAAGAACACTCAACAAGGACTGGGCCTGGGTCCTTAATATCGAAAGGGTTTCCTGGCAGGCACTCTCGCACAAGTGACCACTCCTACCTGCACTCTCTGTAATGTGCTTGTATCTGTATATGTGCATCTAGTCTTACTCAGTAGACATGCTCCCTAAATTGTGCTGTGTAAGCTATTTCAGTAAATTTCTCACTGACATAGTAAGATTTCAGAAATACTTCTCCTTCATTACGAAATCTCTTAAGTTGGAAAAAACAGTTTTGCTGGAAGTTTCTTTTGCCCTAGTCCCAGTCAAATGATAATTTAAGGGTCTATAAATAAGCATATAAAGTGAATGAAGAAGTAACTTAAAGGAATTTTCAAGTGACTTCTGTAAGGCAAATAACCACCCTCTAATTTTTGTCATAGACTTGCATTACCACCCAGGCCCCTGAGGACGATTTGCATGGTCTCAGTGAGTCTGCAGCAGAGCCTAGCATTACACTGTCAATTCAGCATCCCAATCTCTGAACTACTAACAATTACCTCTGGATCCCAAAGGACATATAAGTGTATATATATATTTATTTCCTCATACCTATTTCTATGTCTTTTATGATTGAATCGATGTATATGGATTTGAGGGTTATAAACTATCTCTTTTTTTTTTTGGTGAGGGAGATTGGCCCTGAGCTAACATCTGTGCCAATCTTCCTCTATTTCGTATGTGGGACACCAGCACAGCATGGCTTGATGAGTGGCGTGTAGGTCTGTGCCTGGGATCTGAACCCATGAACCCCAGGCTGCCAAAGTGGAACGTGTAAACTTAACTGCTATGCCACTGGGCCAGCCCCTAGACTATCTTTTTAAGAGCGTGAAATGTAAGGAAAAGATTCTCTCCTGTTTATAAATCAGAGTATCATAATGTATTGAATACCTACATGTTCCTGATACCACATCAAGTATTAAGGGAGGGTAGAGAAGGATGGTATACAGTAGAGCTAATTACATATGAGGGGTTAAATTTTAAGCCAAGAAACAATTTGAGAATAATTAAGTACTAAATTTTATTGAATAAAGTTCAGCAAGAGTTTAGAAAAAAGAAAAGCATGAATTGTACTAGAACTGTAGGCTTTAGGAAGGAGGTAGGATTTGAGTGAAGCATCGATGAATGAATAGGATAAAGAAAAAGCAAGGGGAAAGGCATTTCAGGTATCTGTATAGGTATGTGTGTAAACAATTGGGGAGGGGCACATAGCAGCATAAACAAAAGCTTGGGAAGGTAATGGGAGGAAAGGTAGATTTGCTTTACTGGGTTGGGAATGAAGGTAAGGCAAATGACAGCTGTAATATGAACAACAATGATATGAATAGCTACCATTTGTTAAGCCTTACTTTCAATGTGCCAGGCTCTAGTCTAATATCTCACATATGTATTATATATACACACACATATGTATACGTGTAAATATGTGTATCATTTTATCATTTAATCCTCATAGCAAGCCCTACAAAGTAGGTACTGGATGTTAAGTACCTTAACATTTAAAAGACCCATTTTCCAGATAATAAAACAGAGGCACAGGGTGTTGTATAAACTTCCTAAGGCCACAGAGGACTTGGTGGGATTAGAACACAAGCAATATGACTCCAGAGCCTGAGATCACGACCTTAATGATTTTGCCACCTATAAAAATAAGGTAACCTTGGCAACCTTCCTTCCTAGAATACTATTTCCCAGGGTATACGGTCCAATTTCTAAATTTAATTAAATTCTTTGGGTTTTCTCCTTGAAATTTCCAGAAAGAACCAGTTATAGAGGCTCCTAAAGATAAAAGTTTTTACTTCAAGGCACTTAATGACAGACATGATCAAGTTTAGAAAATTTTATTCACTTTTTAGAACAGGCATTCTGGCTAGTTATTAGACTGCAAATTCAGCACTTAGTACAGGAAGTTCTGAAATTATAATTAGGTTATGTTCCAAAACTTTATTTTTAAGTTAGTTATTTGGAACTTGAAACACATATTCCCATAGAAACAATGCTATAAATGGTGGCTCACACCCTAAAGTCTGTAAAAACCCTCTTGGAGCTGTACAAGGTCCTCACAGTGCTCTAGTATCACTTGTGTCATCAGCACTAACAGAGCTACTGTGCAGCAATGCCTGCTACACTGAACTCAAGGTCAGGGACGAGTCTTAATGGCCTTGGTGTTCCCTGTGCCTAGCACACTCTTCCCACGTAGTTGGCACTTAATGCATGCTTATTAAATCCAAGTGTTAAAGAGAAGACAGATCTGACTACCAGCTCTACCACTTATTTGGCTACTAGGAAACTTCCTTACCTCAGCCTGCCTTTCTCTTCTGCAAAATAGAGAAAATCATACTCCTCATAGGACTCTCATATAGAGATGATGAATGTTCCTCTGTCTTTTAATCTGAACACAACATTTCTTAAATATTGTCATCATTGTGAACATAATTCATAGAATTTTACTAAGTGGTCAAGTTCAACCTGATGATTTATAGACGAGAAAACAAACTGAGGCCCTGAGAAGTTAAGTGATATGCTCAAGGTCACATTTAGTTTTAGTGGCTGACAGTCTCCTCAATCCTGGTCCAGGGCTCCTGCCACTATTCTAACTGCAGCCCCCAGGGCTGGCTACTTTCTCCTCTGCATCAGTTGTTTTGCTGAAATATAGGAGCTGTTCATATTAGCAAGGGTTGTTTGCACCTACACAATATGGCCTGAGACTGTTAGGCTTCTGGAGATTGTGGTTTGTCAGTTGGTTAGTACTCTTCTGTCTCCTTGCTTGTCAGGCCAACAGCTGTCACTTCTGAAAGGTGTACTGATCTCCTGTTGCCCACCATTTCAATGTTACGGGTTATGAAATTAAACAACTCATCAAAACTGAATCTATATAAATAATTTCCTGTGAGGACCTAGGGATGTGTTCTATGAGTAGGGTAAGGTTTTAATTCTTGCACTGTTTCATTTATTTTAATTGTTTATAGGCAACAAATTGTCTTACTCTTTTGCGTTAGCCCAGGGCACTGGATAGCTGAGGTTGCCAACCAAATAACTTCTGAATAAGTGAGGTCGGTCTGTAGTTCAGTTGCATTATGGGTCTAGGAAACGAATTCATCCACACAGAAGGCAAAGGGAACATAGTGGCTTCTGAAATATTCCTCTGTCCCTCTGGGAGTAGAGGAGGAAAAGTATTTAATCCAACGTCTCTACATCTTGATGTGTTTCTCCTAGAGGCAACAATGGCATCTTCTGACCACCAGAGGGCACTGTGTGAACAGCAGGCTTATCGGCAAAACCCAGCTTCACCAGGAAGTCCCTTTTTGCACGTGGCATTCGCTTTCTTAGGGTTCATTTTGTGGAACTTCTATCTATTCCAAAGTACTCACTCTCTGACTTTGTCTGGGACCCACCTAAAGCTCTTCCTCCCCCTGTATTCTGGCACTGCCATTTGCTATCACCCAGGCTACTTGGGAGGCACCTGGGACTTCTCCCCCATAATTAACTATCAAGTCTTGTTAATTTTCTCACTGCATGTGTCTCAAATCTGTCTCTCTATTCCATCCCTACTTTTCCTGCCCCACCCCCCGGCCTCTATCATTCACTCCCGAGTTATTAAAACAGGCTCCTTGACTGGTCCCTCAAATCCATCCTTCATCCTCAGACAATTCATAAAGAACAAAAATCAGACCATGTCATTCTCCCACTTAAATCCTTCTGTGGTTCCGCTCACATATCCTCAGGCTAAAGGACAAACTCCTTAGCAAGGCATACAAAGCCCTCCGTGCCCACCCATCTAGTCTTATGTTTGGCTACTTCCTGCTTTAGACTTCACGTTCAAGAACGTAAAACTCCTCACTACTCCCTGCCCCGTTATACTTCATGTATTTCTTAGTCATGATGACTGGTTCTTCTGTCTGAACCTCTTACATATCATTTAAGAATCAGTTTATCACCTCCTCCAGAAAGCTTTCTGTAACACCTTCCTCTCCCGCTATTTTAGGTTTTGATATTACTCTATCATCTTATTTTGCACTTATTACACTATATTTTAATCATCAAGAACAGCAAGAGAGAGTAGGTGTTAAAGCACAGACTAAGCAGACCACCTGGGTTCAGATTCTGTCTCTGCCACTTATTAGACATGTGACCTTGATTAACCAGGTTGCTTACCCAATCTGTGCCTCAATTCTCTCATTTGAGAATGGGGATGGTAATCCTTCTGGCATTTAGGGTTATTGTAAGGCAGTGTCTGTCAGGAAGTAAGTGTTAAATAAGAATCAGCTACCACAGTTATCCACGTGTTGGTCTCCCCACTAGATTATGAGCAACTTGAAGACAAGGACTTTGGCTTGTTCGTTTCTCTGCAACATAATCAGTATTCAGGGGCCGACCCCGTGGCCGAGTGGTTAAGTTCACACGCTCCGCTGTGGCGGCCCAGGGTTTCACCAGTTCAGATCCTGGGCGCCGACATGGCACTGCTCATCAGGCCCATGCTAAGCACAACCAGAAGGACTACAATATACAACTATGTACTGGGGGGCTTTGGGAAGAAGGAAAAAAAAAAAAGATTGGCAACAGATGTTAGCTCAGGTGCCAATCTTTAAAAAAAATCAGTATTTAGTAAATGCTGCCGAATGAATAATTGGTGAGGCAGCTCTCTCTGATGATGGGAGGCACTACCCAGTTCCCTTCTTTCAGCAGATCCACACATATTTTAATTGTATTGTTTCCAATTTTGTAGCTCCAAGTTTTGATGTTTAATTCTAACCAAAATCCTGAAAACTTCACACTCTTATCTAATTAAGTCAATGAAACCAATAAAATGAGTATCATAAAAAGTGTGTTCATTCTAATAAGCTTAACTCCATTTTTAAGCCTTAAATCTATTTAACATTCTCCCTCATCCCAAAGCACCCAACCCAGCAAAAGCCTTCTTGCTTTCATATATGCTATTCCCTTCACTTAGAACCTCTTTGATGTCCAGCTCACTCTCCTCGGGGAGTTTTTTCTGATCCCAGGGTGAGGCAGATGCCTCTCTTCTGCACTTCCAAAACAGCCTATACCTACGACTCTCTGGTGACAAATAACATATGATGCAAACTGGGTTGCTCTCTCTCACGGCACTCTCGGCAGGGATTATAATTACGTGGCTCCCCTGCTCTGCTGTAAGCTCCGTGAGATCAGGGCATGGTCTTAGTCATCAGTGTATCCCCTGAGCCTCTAATAGTTCCTGACATTTAGTTGACATATGATCAGTTTTTGAATGAATAAATGTCAAGGTAGGTAAGTTTTATTTTGCTTATCAATTTTTTGCATTATTTCAATCATGGCAATTTTTATACACATAGTGGTAAAAAACTTACAAAGCAATTTCCCATACACATACAAATGATACCTTGAGGTAGGTATGTGTATTATCCTCATTTTGTGAATGAGGAAACAGGTTTAGTGGTTGACACTCCAATGCTCATCATGTAAGTAGAAGATGGGACTCACACGCTGACTCTTCATTCAGAACCCTGAGTTTCAGTTTTCAGACACCAGACAACACTCTTTCTGGCAATGACTATTAACTGAAGTGTCCCTTTGGGACATTCTAAGCCTCCCAGAGTCACCCCATTTTCATACAGGCCCACTTTGCAGGCAGAATGCCCCAGCCCCTTCCTCATCTCCTCTTCCACCTGCTGACACCGGCTGCCATCAGAGCAAGTCCGCCCCCAATACTAAAGATTTAAAGTGAGGATGGAGCTCTTCTGTTATCTCTAACAAGGATTATGTGCATCTCCCGTAGACAACGAACGGAAAATCTAGTTAGTGATTTAATTCTCCTTAATTTTCTAATTTTACTTCAAAAATGATTTTAAACTCATAGCAGAGGAGTATAAAAAACACCCATGTCCCAACACCCTCAAATCACCAATGTTGTGATTAAACTTCCATGTACTATTTTGGGGCTTTGTTTTCAGAACATCAACTACATCACAGCTCAGTATTCTCGAATATTCCAGCTAAAGAATAAGAGTTTCTCAACTTTGACTAAGATCTCTTGTAGTTACTATACAAATGACTACACATGCCACAGTATACTTACAAATCTATCTTAAGTATGTACCATCGCCTTCTATGCCACATCTGAAAACTACAGTCATTAATCCCCTTCTTTCTTCTAATTTCCTTTCCTTGATGTTTGGCATGCTACCTCTGGACATGAATCAAGAGGAGCCCCTCATCCCATATCAGCACAGGGATATCGTGGCAGTGGTCTTCATGGCAAGCATATCGACTCCTTCCCAATTATAAATTATGAAACTTTTGTTTTAATGAGTTTGGTCAGTATAAATCAACCCATCAGAGGCTGGACTAATACATTAAAAAAGTGTGAGAACTGGCCCACCAAGCTACAGTAAGTACTTCATAAGGACAAATCGAGAACAGCAGCCCTGTTCAACTCTCCCGTCTGTTACTTAATCATAGAGTTTTCAATCAGCCCAGTGCAAAACATTCCCTTTCCCTCTGCCCTGTACCCATCCTCACCGACCAGAGCGGTGCACAGAGGCCACGGGCCGCGAATCACCGCAGGCCGTCCCCAGGCAGGGTGAGGCACACACAGCAGCACAGTTAGGATCAAATGTTGCCTTCTCGCGTTTTCAACACGGAATTGACTGTTAACAGTGATTATCTCTGGGGAGTGGGAGTCAGAGTGACTTTCATTTTTGTACTTTATGTACTTCGGTATAGGGTGAACTTTTACAAAGAGCATGGGTTTCATAATAAAGTATTTCCATTGTGAGAAAAAACAGACATGAATCACTTTTAATTTGGTTTACATGAGAGTATAAAAATAAATAATTTCAGTATTTTATGGTAAGAGATACTATCACAAGAATAGGAGAAAACATCCTATAGAGACCAAAGTGACCTCAAGCCGCTGTTTTTCAAATATACCTTGATTTTTTTGGGAAGACGACACATTGCAGCTTAAAAATAAAAATCTATGGAAATTTTTCTGCATTTTTATCCCAAGTGGTTTCCTCCTCTTTGGGCCAGAAGGTTAACAGCAGAGAGTTAGCACCTTTCCTGGCTGGAGGAGGAGAGGCCTGAAAGCAGGCCCTTCTTTTCTCCTGCACATTAGAATGGGAAATGGTGCTACAAGGAACACAAAGACACCCTTAAACAGCTCGATGAACTGTACCTTCCCCAGAGCCTGGCAAAAGAGGAAAAGGAGAAAACAGTACAAAAATTTAGCAGTGTTAAAGCGAAATCAAAACACAAGGTCAAGAGTGAGGGGCCGAGGCTCTGCTCGTGCCCTGCTAAGGTCCTCGTTAAATATGGTTTCTCTTTTCTCTGACAATGATGCACCAGAAGTAGGCCATCAGAGTGGGATGGGAAGAACAGAAAGGCTTCAGGAAAGACTGCTCAATCTGAGTTATTCTACACCGTGAAAATTTCATCATAATGGAGAAATCTGCTTTTAAAATGAATCTAAGAGGTTAACTGAAGGCTCTATTGCAGACGATCTTTATTAATCTTTGGAAAAGCATTTCACCTCCATTATGCTTCAGTTTTCTCTGTTTAAGATGAGGAAGCCCCCATGTAGCTCCCAATAACTCCCTAGTTATTATTGAGACTTTTAGATATCCATCAAGTAATTCAAAAGGAAAGTTTCGAAGTTCTGATGGTCAGCCATCATTCAAGTGTCATCTTTTTGTATCCTAATTCTCCCCACTTCTCCCCATCATATCCATTTGCACTGACAAAATTTTATAGACTCTAATTTCTCCGTTTCAAAGGAGAAGGTGGTGATTGCTTTGAAGTTATCACGAGAACTGCATCCTTCACCAAATCTACTCCAGACTGCCTTGAACTTCAGCTCAAGAAACTGATTCTAAGTCGCCTTCAAAATGCCTGGAACCACTCCTTGGGTTCGAATGTCTAGGGGAAAATTGTTCCTGAAATAGTTTTCCTGCCGTGATACGCACTGTATGGAAATACACTTAAGCCAACGGAGAATCTGCACGAACCTACCACGCTGAAGCTCGATTTAGGAATATTATACTTACACACATACAAATGCCCTACTGTCCCCAGAAAACATCAAGGACTTTGATCAACATTTCCCTGACGCTCCCAATTTGGAAAATGTCATGTCAACCTTTCAGATCAGGCAGACGCGTTGCTTAGGTAGAAAGGCAGACTTGGAGGGTGGCTGAGCTCAGAACCAAGCCTACATATTTTAGCGGTAATGACGCCCGATCTACGTCCAACACATTTATCGACCACTAACAGAACTCCTAGTAAGCGCCCACCGCTGGAAGCGAAAGCACTTTCTTCCCAGGAAACAGAAGATCTTTTCCACTGAAAATTCCCAAACCCGAGACCCACCACTTTTTAATGAACAAAAAGCGTGTGTGCCGGCAAGAGGGGGTGGGAAAGAGCGTGGCAAGAATTTGCACGGCTCTTACGCCTCCTCCCTCGGAGCGCGCCCAAGTCTGCGGCCTCGGGCTCCGGGACACTTCCCCTCCCACCCGCCCAGGAGCCGCAGCTGTAAGTTGAGAGAAGCGGGCTCTGGGCACGTCAATCAACCGGGTCCTCCCGCCTCCCGTCTACACCTCCCCTCCCCCCTCAAAAAAATAAAGGCAGAGAAAGAAAGGGAAAAGAAGGTAACTAATTTGGGAACTAGTCTCCGCCGGGGCTTCGCCTCCGACCCAGGGAGGCCGCACGTCCCGGACCAGGCGCGCCGGCGGGCGGTGGGGTCGAGCGGGCGGCCCGGCAGCTGCCCGCCGCCGGGTCCTCGCAGCGCGTCCGCCGCGCTCCGGCTCCCCGCACGGGTCGGCGCCGCTCCGGCTCCGCACTCCGCCAGGCCCGCGGTCCGGCGCCCTCCGGCCCGGGCCAAAGTTGCGCAAATAGCCCCACAACTGGCAAATACTCACCGGCCGCAGCAGGAACCGGGGCTGCGGAGATTTTAGGGAGTTTAAGGCAAATCAGCCGCGGGAAAGGCGGGCGGAGGCGAAGGGGCCGCGAACTGCAGTGGCGGCGGCGCGCGGCGCTCGGGCTGGGCTGCGCGGAGAGGTTCTGGCTCTGCCAGGGACTGTGCTGCAACAAAGGACTTCCGCTGCCGCACAGCCGCGCCTGCCGCACCGCACTGAGCCGGCCCCGCTTACGCGGCGACTCCGGGTCTGCCCACCAGTTCGCTGCGGCGTCCGCCAGCCTTCCCCTCCCTTTCGCCCGCCCACCCACTCCGCCGCTGGCTGCTAGGGGCACCCGCGGTCGCCTGTTTGTTGCAACAAGTTTCTGCGTCGGGCTCCGAGGAGGCTGGCGCAACCCGCACCGCGGGGGCCGGCGCGGCGGCGACCTGACCACCCCTCTCGCCCCTCTCCCAAGGGTAGGCTTGGGACCTCCTCCTCCTCCTGTTTGCACAGCTGGTTAGGACTGGGCTCCTCCCGACTCCCCAAGGGCAGGATGCTGCTTTCCCACTCCGTCCAGATGTCAGACCCCTGCCCCGTAGGACCCAGCAGCTGGGCCCTCCCTCGCAGTGTACGTCCCTGGCGTTCTGGGGGCGCCGGCACCCTCACCCTGTCCCGTGCGCGGCCGGTTCGTCCACGGTTGCCCATTCCCCGCGCTCCCCCCACTCTGCCTTCCATGGGCCTGTCCGCCTCTGGCCTTGAGTCACTTCCCCCGCCATGCCCCACCCCACCCAGCCCGCCTCCCCTCCCAGACTCCCGCGGCTCAGCTTCCTTGGCCCCGCGCCCTCAGCCCTCTCCCCGCGAACACGCGGGCGCATCCTTCCCTGCCCCCACCCCCGAACTGAGGGGGTGCCCATGCTTCTGCACACCCTGGGGAAAGTCCCCAAGTCACGCGGTTGTGCGTGGGGAGCCTGTGACGCTCAGGCTTGTCTCCACGCTTCCGCCTACAGAGTCACGACTGGGGACCGCGACGGAGGCGCCTCGAGCGCACGCCAACCCCTGCCTGACCACTCGAGCGGGCGGGCAGGCGCGCACGTACGCACGCACGCACACTTCGGCCCCGCGCCCCTCGTTCTTCGGCTACCAGGCGCGCGATCACATGGGCCCATCGCGCGGCGGCCGGCGCGGGAAGCCGCGCGAGAGCGGGCAGCGGGGTGCGTGTGCCGGCGCCGCCGCGTGACGTACACGGCGCGGGAGCCGCCCCTCCCGCACGGAGGAGCCGGCTGGCCGCCGCGGCGGCGTCTGGGTAAGCGACGCGGCCCGGCCCCTGTGGGTTGCTCCGGGTTCAGTCCCTCCCGCCGCGAGCCGCCCAGGGCGGCGGCCTGCAGCTGCGCCGGTCGCGGGACAGATGCAAGTAGCTGGGGAGAGGGGTGTTTTTGGTCCATTTGAGATGTCAATCAGGGCAAAGGAGGAAAATAGCAACCGCGTGTGAGCGCTGGGCCGAGGATGCACGGAGTCGCCCTTCGCTGCCCGCGCGAGGCGCTGCCGGGGCCTGACTCAGGCCGGGACGGCGCGCGGGGCGCCGCAAAGGCATGGCGCCCTCTGCGCCGCGGGCCTGGGTGCGAGCCGGCGCGGGAAGCCCCGGCGGGCCCACGGCTTTCCCCTCGCGGCCGCGCCGGCCTCGCAAGTGGGCGGGTCTCCAGGTGCAGCCTGTGAGACGCTGCGGCCGCTGCCCTCCTTCTCCCTTCCCCACCCCCGTTTGTTTTTACCCGTTTGTAGAGCAGGAAGTCCCCCCTATAATTCATTACTATCCTTTTTCAGATTATATTAATCTCATTTTAAGCAAATCCAGTTTTTCTCTTTAAAGCTTCCCCCATTCATCACTGCCTTCCGTGGCACTCATTATTTGGAGAAATCAAGCTGCTTAGGCAGCGTCTAGCGCTGTACCTGGAACTTGACAGCAGCCAACGTGTTTCATAAATTAACGCTCGTTTTTCCCCAAGGTATTAAATTTGGCATTCATTCTCTGGAGACTTAAATCTTTTTGGTAAAGCTGTTGATTCTCATAGGATTCTGTCAAGTGTGTAAAGTACACTTTGGAATCACAAAGCTGAAAGGGGTCTTGTAGAAAATCCAGTTCATCCCTCTCATTTTACAGATGAGGACACCAGGCCTAAAGAGCGTGTAGCTTGATGAGGTCCCACACTTGGGTAACTGGCCTCCAGGGCTCCAGACGCCTTGGTCCTTGCACTCTCCACCACATCAGGAGTCCAGTGCTGGTTTAACCCACTCACAGAGGTGATTATAATTAGTTTGATTCAGGTTATGGAGAAATCAAGCTTGTCCAGTGTGTGATGGCTGTGGTATTTTAAGGAATGGGGTTGGCACTTTTTCTAGGTGCAGTAGACTGCCTGCGATGTACTCTGGAGCTCAAAGCTTGTCCCCCCACAAAACTCAGCCTTATTCTCTGCAGGAATAACCAACATTTGCAGCATTGGTTGCTTCCTTAAGTTAAGGCATCAAAGTCCTCTTTAGCAATCTGGATGCGTTTTAATTAAGGATAAACTGTTAATGCGTTATCAGATGTCAGCTCCTTAATAGGGAACAAAACACTGATGGGATAGTACATGGAATAGATTAGTTCTTAGGGCTCGGAGGTTATCAGGAAGCAGTGGAGCATCACAGGGGTGGTCAGCAAGAAAGAAGGGAGGACCTCACAGGACTTGCTGTACCTTTTTGCCCAGCCCTGCCCTGAATGTCTTATTTTGAGGTAGTGGAGATGGACTCTACTCAGGTTTGGTCGCTGTTTACTGAGTACCTGCAGTGGCTAGCTGCTCTCATAGATGAATTTCGATTACTTACCAAAAAGGAGGTAGCATTATCGCCATGTTACAAATGAGGAGACAGGTTCAGGGAGATTTACCTGGCTTCATTTGCAGTAGAATTCAAGCCTAGATCACTTATCTCCCCAGTCCAGTCAGTGCTCTTTTGCATTATGTCTTGCTACCACTTCAAGCCAGGAAGGGGATGAGAGAATCGCCTGTGGCTGATTTATTGGCGCCTGTGGTTGCCCAGAGAGGCCGAGCAGGACTTTCAGCTGCCCTTTCTGCCTTAGAAAGTGGAGCTGTGTGCTTCCACCCTATCTCCTGAGGGGAATGCGAAGGAGCCAGGCTGTCTAGCTGGGGAGGAGGGGCCCAAGTGCCGAGGCCGTAAAATATCCTGGCGAGGGCTATGCTGGGAAGTGTTGCGTAATGCCCTCCCCGCCGCTGAACCAAGTGATTTATTTACTATGGTTTGTAGGTGGTGCTTGACCATCTTGTTAAAGAAAAACATGTCCATTTTAGTAATAACAGGGCCAGAAAAGAGTTGGGGGTTTTATATTATTGCGGGCCTTTTTCTTGTCTTAAAAAAGCAGTGCAGGTGCTCTTATCTTGATCAATTATGAAGTACTTCTACACCACTTCCTGTGCCCCCTTTCTGCTTATTTATTCCAAATTGCATGTGAACTTCAGTCTTTTGAAAGAAGAATGCTAAGAGAAATACTGCTCCAGTTTATAGTTACCTGCACGGGTTATGGAGTCAGACCTAGCTTTTGAGCCCCACTTTATACTATTTGCTAGTTGCGTGTCCTAAGTGTAGGGGTTTTTTTTGTCTGTAAAATGGAAATAAAAATAGCACGTATAGGCACAGTGAGGATTAAAGGAAATAATGTACATAGAACATTTAGCACAAGGCCTTTTGTGTAGTATTTACTCATAATAGTAGCTATTGATAATAACTAGAACAGTATTATTCCCTCTAGGATAGGAAAGAATATTACTACTTGAGTTTGCTTCCGGTGAGTGGAGGAAGAGGAAAGAAAGTGTTTGAAGCAAACATCGGTTTTAGGATTATTGATTGAATTTATTAACGCTTCTCCTTTCCCTTTGCTAGCAGGATTTTTTTCTTTTTAACCTTATCTGGAGAAAAAGTGTTTATAGTGTTAAGTTGGTTATTTTTGAAATTTTTCTAATTCATTTCTTCCCTGGTTACAAATTAATTATGCAGTGACTTTTTGTTCCTCCTGAAAAACTCTAGGCACTTTAAGCAAAGGGTTTCATTAGCCCATGTGGATAACGTGTCAGTGGGATGTTCGGTGGCAGAGGAAGTCCTGGCACACCTACGTTCAGAAGTTACCATCGTTCTTGTTTGTACTGTATTCTAGGTCTGTACTAGGGCTGTCATTTTCCAACTTTCTTCTGTCCTTTGAGTACCTTTTTTTTTTTCAGAAATGCAGTCTTTATTTTTTTAGTGGACTACGAAGAATCTTTTTCTTTACTTCACGGGATTCTGATTTTTTTAAGGTCCACTAGCAATTTGCACTCACTGGTGTTAGCGTTTTGTTTGCCTGGTGCTGCGGTTTTTATCAGGCATCCCACATGTTGGTTAGATGGGGCTAGAGATGTAGCAGGCTGGCTGTGTCTGCCAACAGGCAGGAGGCCCCAAACTAACGTCTCCCTGTTCCGTTAAAGGTTTTTAGAGCATAACTGCTCTTCCTGTGTCATCTACCACGTCTGCTGCTTACCCTCTCCTCTTATATTCTCACGGCTTTTCTTAAGCAGATGCCTAGAATTACCACAGATTGTACCTCAAACAATATTTTCAGATTTGGAATTTCCATATCACTTTTAGATGTTATGAAAATGGCTGTAATGGCCTTCGGGAGTAAATACCTCTTTTTCCTAAATACTTTTTAAAAAGAAGTCTGAAAATTGTGTGTTCCTCCTCTGCCTCCAAGGTGCATCCTACTAGTTTGGGAGCACTTTTGCTTCTTAATCTGGCTAATTTTTTAGTTTAAAATACAATTAGAATTACAATTGTTGATTTTTGTTCATTTAATGTAATTGGTATATTTCCCACATTTGAGCATTTCTTGTGAAAGTGCTTCTTTTTTCCTGTAATTTTAGAGTGTGAAATATTTTCTTGGGTTTCCTTAGTCACCTCTTCTAACGCAGTGGTTCTTAACTGAGGCATCATATTAGAATCACCTGAGGAGCTTTTTTGAAAAGACTGTGTGTCGGGCGGGTGAGGGGCCCCTGGTCCCATAGTGGTTAAGCTCACACACTCTGCTTTGGCAGCCCCGGGTTCACAGGTTCAGATCCCAGGCATGGACGTACACACTGCTCATTAAGCCATACTGTGGTGGCATCCCACATACAAAACAGAGGAAGATTGGCATAGATGTTAGCTCAGGGACACTCTTCCTCAAGCAAAAAGAGGAAGACTGCCACAGATGTTAGCCCAGGGCAAGTCTTCCTCGAGCAAAAGGAGGAAGATTGGCAACAGATGTTAGCTCAGGGCCAATCTTCCTCACCAGAAAAAAAAAAAAAGGCTCTGTACCTCACCCTCAGCAATTCTGTGTGGGTTAGCTTGGCATAGGACCCAGGCATCAGTGCCGTTCTACATGGGAGGTTTTACAGTACAGTCAGCAATAAGGGCCACTATTCAAGCATAACATGACTTCTGGGTTATAGAATGTTACACCTCCACAATCAGAAAGTACCACTAAAAGTGGAAATCAGTGTATAAACTCTTTTATCATGTGGCACTTTGAATATTTCTGCTTTTACCTTTGTGTTTATAGCCATGAGTAAATATCTCAAAAAAGCTGTACACATTCCTCTGCCAACTTTCCTGACTCCTTGTCTTAATGATCATTCATAAGAAAGTCACAATGGTAGTAACCACAGAGAAGATATCTGAGGCTGCTTGTTTTCTACAGAAACAGATGTCTTACTCGTTTTGTTCTTTTTTTTTATTAAAGATTCTTACAGCCTAAGAGAATGAAAAGCTGTGTATTCCAGGACATCGTTCTGGCTGCCATAGATCTGAGAGTCCAGTCTGACCAATACAATAGATTTTTTAAGTGAATAAAAATCAAAGATGTTGAATAGCAAGCTAACTTTGAATTGAACAAACATAGATACTGGTATAAAGCTGTTCTAGTTTATGTAGTTTAAGCAAATCCAGAGTCACTGCAATCTATTAAGTAAACAAGATTTTTGTAGTCTTTCTTAAATATCATTGCTAACCCCATTATAATGTAAATACAACTTCGATAACAGATAAAGCATTTTAAGATGTAGCACTCTTACATTTTGGCTCTAGTATTTGTAAATATAATACAATGATAATTATTTTTCTGCAACCTCTCTCACATCTTAACATTTTCACCAAAAATTCTCAAATGTAACTTCTAAGATCTTTCTGTAAGCATAGGAAACTTTGGCTGTTCCACATGTAAGAGAAAATAAAATTGATGGTCAAAGAAATGATGAGCAAAAGCTATATAAAAAGCCAGCTAATAATTTGCAAAGTAGAATGTGTTGGAAAATGTCCTTAACTTTGATGGATTGACTGTTTATATGGGGTAAAAATCTGTGTTGCCTTAAAACATCAAAGGTATATTATTATGCAAAGAAGTTTGAATGCACTTATTATATATTTAAGGCTTATTTTTTTTTTTAACAGATCTGAATTTGTTTCATTTTATAAACTTGGAAAATTTACCCCCTTATTTGGTTCAATATAGTCACAAAATCTGCCATCAATATATATGTTGAAAGTTCTAGATTGGGGTTTTGAAGAAAGGGCACTGAGTTTAAAGTCCAACTTGAAGTACTACCAGTGCCATTTTATAGCTAGTTGTCTGACTTTGGGTACCTTTCCTGCCTTCTCTGAGCCAATGGTTCCTCAACTATAAAATGGAACTAATGTAGTACCTACTCTACTACCTTATAGGATCAAAAAAAAGATAGTGTAGGGCAGAGGTTCTCAAAGTGTGGACCAAGGACCCCCCTGGAAGTTCTGGAAACCCTTTCAGTGGGTCTACAAGAATCTCCCTTTTTTTTTTTTTTTAAAAGATTTTATTTTTCCTTTTTCTCCCCAAAGCCCCCGGTACATAATTGTATATTTTTAGTCATGGGTCCTTCTAGTTGTGACATGTGGGATGCCACCTCAGCATGGCTTGATGAGCAGTGCCATGTCCATGCCCAGGATCCAAACCGGTGAAACCATGGGCCCCGGAAGCACGAGAACTTAACCACTCAGCCACGGGGCCGGCCCCCGTGAATCTCCCTTTTGTAGGGCCAAATTCTCTTAATATGTTTGAACCAGAACAACATGTGGCAACAGATTAAATGCAGAAGCAAATAAAAGAACTGGGTATATTTTTTAAAGCCAGGTATTAAAGAAGATAGCAAAATATAAAGCAATGCCATAACAATGCCTTTTTTTTAAGGAAAAAATGTATTATTTATGTTAATAAGTAATGAACTTGTTATTTTAAATAAATATTTAAGAGTTTCTCAGTTTTAAGTTCTACCATGGTACATATTGATAAATATAACCCACATAAACAACAGCTCTCTGTTGACCCTAATACTTTTCTTTAGAGTATAAATGGATCTTGAGACCAGAACTTTTTAAAACTGCTAATGAAGGGTCATGGCTGAGTAGTACCTTTGGGGGCAATTCTGCAGATAAAAACTGTAAACTTTAGGAGCTGGCCCAGTGGTGTAGTGGTTAAGTTCGCACACTCTACTTCAGCAGCCCAGGGTTCACTGGTTCAGATCCCCGGCACAGACCTATGCACCACTCATCAAGCCTTGCTGTGGCAGCATCCCACATAGAAAATGGAAGAGGATTGCCACAAATGTTAGCTCAACAACAACCTTCCTCAAGCAAAAAGAGGAAGATTGGTACAGATGTTAGCTCAGGGCCAATCTTCCTCACCAAAACAAAAAATTAAACTATAAACTTGAAAAAGTTTTAAAAACTACCAGATGGCATTCAAGAATGACAAAAAGCAGGCAGAAACTGGAATGAGGTCTACACTTGGAAGAAGGGACCAACAGTGCATACCTTTCCATTTTTATGGCTTTTAGCCTCAGAGAAGGCCCCAGTTGGTGACATGATGGGATGGCTAAAACTGGGATAACCTGTAATCTTACTTGCTTGAAGAAAAGAGGACAAAGTTCAGAGTGATCACACAGCTGGAAAGTAAGGAGCAAAATCCTAGAAAAGATGTCAGTGGTGGTGGGGGCGGGGGGGACGACCTTAAATACTGTGTATAAACTCAGCTTGAATCTCTTGCCAACCCCTAAACTTATACATGTGTTGAGCAGCCTCAAGACAGCACATCTAACACTAAGAAAACTGAACCATAGGGGAGTTAGAACTTGGAGTTTAAGTCCAGCCAAGTTAATTGTCTGCAAAACAAAACAAAAACGTTAACTCCTAGGAAGAATATTACAGAATCTGGGGTCTTTACTATAGCAATCACAATGTCTAGGATATTATCCAAAGTGACCAGACATATGAGGAAACAGGAAACTATCACCCTGATTGGAGGATGACCCCAAGGTGAAACTTCTCTCTTACCAAGCCAGTTTCTGTGCCTCTTCTCCAGTGTTCTAGGACCCAGCCTTTTTATCAACACCTAGCACATGGCAGTTACTCTGCACATATGACCTGAAGAAGTGAATGAATTCTTCCAGTTATCCAAACTGGAATTCCGAGACTCACCTTTGGCTTGATCATTGTGGCTGACCACATCCAGTCTGCTGCCAAGGCAAATCTGGTGTGTCTTGTATTCCTTCCTTCATTTCCACTGCCTTTGGAGTTGGAGTAGGCTCTTTGCGCTTCTTTCTTTCTCCATGCCTTTCCCTTGCTAATCTTTTTTTTATATTGCTGCTAGAGCAGTCTTGACTCCTAGGCCTAATGATGGTGATAACTGGTGTTTATTGAACACTTACTATGGGCCTCACTATTTCTAAGTGCTCACATGCGTTATCTTACTAAATCTATATAACAACCTGTGAGGTAGATACTGCAGTTGTCCATATTTTATAAGTGAAACTGAAGCCCAGAGAGTTGAGTCTCCTGTCTAGATCACACAGGTAAATGGCAGAGCTAGGATTTTAATCCATACTTTTGGATTCTAGAGTCCAAGCTTTAACTACTCTGCCAGTTTCCCTCCCACAGAAAATGTCCTAACATAGTTCATTGCAAACACAGCTGGAGTACCTTTTAACTGTGTGCCCGCTGTGAGCTGACCCCATCTCTTGTTATTCACTTACTTTTGTTTGTTCTATGCCAAACTGAATTCTTCAGTTATCTATATATTTGTACCCCTCCCTGTCATTTTACTCATTCCATTTTTTCTGCCTGGAATGCTGTGTTCACCTTCTGCCTGTTTATCCAAATCCAGTTCCCATGGCTTATTTTCCATTGAGTCTCCTGTTATTTATCTCCCCCTCACACCATGTTCTCCAAACTGCTCTTATGGCATTTAACACTTTTACTTCATGTTGCAATTACTAGGTTTTGTGTTTTGTTTCCCCTGTTAGCCTGTAATCTTGATTGCAGCATCTATGTAATTTTTTTTCCATCCCCATGCTTTGTTCAATGGATGTTTTCAAATGTTTATTAAATTTCTCTTCAAAAAATATTTGTTCAATAACTGAAGAATGTAACTGTTATTCATAGATCATTAACCGCAACATTTTTCTATATTTGGTTTTTTAGCGTGCCATTTCTCATTTCCATATGTTTCAAGAGTTTATTATACTAATGTATAATATGTATATAGAAAAAAACTGGTAAAAATGTTTATGATCTGCTGAGGGAGGTTGAGACAATTTGTAAGGGTATTTTAAGGTACTTCAATTTGAACCATTTCATTGAATCTAAGACATGTTTTTCAAATACTAACATCTCCAACATAGAATTTTATTTTGGTTTTTTAATCTCGCTATAAACTGATGGTGCTTTAGAATCAAGGAAATGTGGTAAATACAATAAATAGTAACTTTTGACTAAATGCCCTTTTGGAACAATACCCACAATTTGGATCTTGTTAGAGGATAGGCTCGAGTCTGTAGGTTGTCTTATTATTTCTTGTTTCATTGCTGCTTAAAGGCTTTTAACATGAGATGGTAAAGGATATGAGTTTTTTTTTAGATTGGGGAAACTATTATGTTTGAATAAGTAGGGTTTTTAAAAGTAATGTGTGAATGTTGACTTAAAAGAAGCAAGTTGCAGGATCCCTAAAGTACAATTTTATTTATATAAAATTTTGAAACATGCAAAACACTACCTTGTTAAGTGATATATGCATTTGCAGTAAGAATGTGACGGCGTACAAGAGAGTCGTAAACACCAAGTGCAGGATGGTGGGTACTTTGTGGGGAGGGGGATAGAATGAGGGAGAGATGCCAGGGGTCTCTCACGGGGTTTACTTTCTGTGCTCAGGGGTTGGTGGGTGTTTGTTACATTCTTGTCTGGACCTACTTTTCTATCTGAAATATTTCATAATTTTAAAAAATGAGAGAAAAAGGAATATATTTAGTATGTATTTATGATACTAAACGTCAATAAAAGGTTTTTTTAAGTTCCAACAGTACAGTTCCCTCCACTCTTAACTCCTTGCTCCCTAGTTTCCCTCCTAGAAATGAACATGTTACTTGTTTCTTTGAAACTTTCCAGAGATGTGTACATAAACAAGAATATATTTATGTATAAGTTCCTCTGCCACCTATAAAAATAACCACCCCACCTCATAGTAGTGCTCTCTATACAGTTTTATACTTTGCTTTTTTTACGTACTGTATCTTGGAGGTTATTCCCTATCAGTACATTAAATATGTAGTTTTAATAAAAATAAGTTTAGCCTTTTATCAGTAATAATTACCTTTGCCTTTACCAGTTATAGTCTAGACTTTATCCACTAGAAAGAATAAATATTTGTGTTGCTATGTCACATTTGCATAAGCAGCAGGAAATCTGAGTTTCTCCCTGATTCCTCTTTCGATATATTCCTGAGGCTTCCCGAGGTGCCTTGATGTGTAACCAGACTGTTCCCGAGGCTCCTCCAGTCTATGTGCTCTCTGGGAGGTGGAGAGGGAGGACGTTTGGGCTCTGGAGCCCAGTGCCTGGGTTTGAGTCCCCTCTTCTGCCGCTGACTAGCGTGTGACCTTGGCTAAGTTAACTCTCTGTGCTGGTTCGGTTCTTCACTATAAGATGCATTGAGTATTCCCTTTGTCGTAGAGTTGTACTGAAAATTGAGTGAGTGGAAAGTGCCTGACTCATAGAACGCACTATAAAGTGTTAGCAATTTTTCCTATATTATCGGTCACTCCGCTGTCTGCTGCCCAAGCCACTGCCAATCTCCAGACAGCTAACCCCACACTCATCACTGACCTTAGACCTTGTTCTCTCTGGCTAGTGAGGAAACTTCATTCTCTTTGTAGGATCTGCTCTTTTAGAGGATGTTCTCCCAGCCCCCTGGTGACACACTTTATACCACAGCTGCCATCTCCCTAAAGCACTAGGGTGCTCTGCACAGTTGGGTGGAGAAGGTGGTGAAGCACAGCCTCCAACCTGCCCGGAACCACAGTGCCCTTGAATGTCCTTGCTGCTCACACTACTCTTCTCCGCCAGAATTCTTTTGCATGTTCTTCCTCATGCATGATTTTCACCGTGGGACTAGTGGTGCATTTTGCTTCCTTCGGGAACCTCCGTGTTTATATGTGTCTGAATCCAGTTTAGATCAGGGTTTAGGTTCCTTCCCATGGGGCTCCAGGGCCCCATGTAAATCGGGGGATGTGTCTTGACATCTATTTTAAGGGCTCCTGAACATACTGTGACTGATAAGCTTCACAAACATTGTATGATAGTTAGGAGGCCGGTGTCCCCTGAGTTCACAAAGGATCTGTAAGGAGCAGTGACAGCTGTAGCCCAGCCAGGACACACTTCTGTGTGAATAGCAGTTTCCATCAGAAGGTGCTTTTCACATAACTCCCTTCATTTAGCTCTGAGGTGGGGAGGGATCAGTATCTCATGCCCATTTTTCCAGTGAGGAAACAGGACTAGAAACATGTGGTCACATAGATAAAAAAGGATAGGCTTTCCTTTTGCTCCTGTGTCACTCATACCAAGCTACCTTCTTACCAGATGAAAAAAAGCCATATTTTACAGTTTCAGCAGCGTTGACATTGATTGTCATATGGGGAGATTTAATGTTAGCTAGGTTTGGGGTGAAAGGGACAGTATGGAGAGCTGTTGGATAATTTCATTTAAATTTAGTGCTCCTTGTACTCTGTAGGTCTGCATAAACTGTAGCCAGTTTCATAAGAAAAAATTGTCCTTTTTCTCAGAGCCACAATGGACACAGCCAGCCATAGCCTTGTCCTCCTGCAGCAGCTGAACATGCAACGAGAATTTGGTTTTCTGTGTGATTGCACTGTTGCTATTGGAGATGTTTACTTCAAAGCCCACAGAGCAGTGCTTGCTGCTTTTTCTAACTATTTCAAGATGATATTTATTCACCAAACAAGGTAAGGGTGTGCTTTTGTAAATCAGAAGAATTTTTAATATTGTGATATATCTAGGCCTTATTATAACATCATTTTGGGGGTTTTTGTTATGGGGTCACCTTAATAAAAAAAAATTTATAATAATTTTTTTCTACACATCAGTAATTAAACTCAGAGTATAGGATCCATGGTGGAAAATAAGAATGAAAACAGTAATAGCTAAAATTTATTGAAGGCTTATCCCATACCTAAGCACTAAGTATTTACCTAAGGTAAATTCTACTGTAACCCCTATTTTAAAGAAAAGGAAACTGAGACTGAGTTAAGTAACGTGTCCATTTATGATTATATAGTTAATACGTTAGACTCAGATGCAAATCTGTGCTCTTAAAGGTCTTTGCTCTAATCACAAAGTTGTTGATTTCTATTCCATAACACTTTCATAGCAAGGTTTCAGTGTCATAATTCTACTCACCGTATATTCCATATTACAATTCAAAGGTCATTTGTTTCAAAAACTTTTCAAAAAGTTTTCTTGAATTTAGGTTACCCCAACATGATAGGTATGTAGAGAGAGGGCTGGAAAGTGACATTCAGCTTCTGAGTTCTTTCTAAAGAATAGCTTTAATTCATCCTAGATTGAAAGTGATAGAACACTCTTTATGTTTTTTTAGTAGATGTTATATGAAATATTTAGGAGTCCAGCCTCAATTATACATTTTTTTTTTTTGAGGAAGATTAGCCCTGAGCTAACATCTGCTGCCAATCCTCCTCTTTTTTGCTGAGGAAGAGTGGGCCTGAGGTAACATCTGTGCCTATCTCCCTCCACTTTATATGTGGGATGCCTGCTACAACGTGGCTTGATAAGTGGTGCATAGGTCCACGCTCGGGATCTGAACCGGTGAACCCCAGGCCACTGAAGCAGGTTGTGTGAACTTAACTGCTATGCCACTGGGCTGGCCCCTCAATTATACATTTTTAATTGATCATTCATTCAACTATTTATTGAGTATTTACATGTAAGGCACTGTTCTAGACCCCAGTAACAGGTAAGTTACACTCCCTGCCCTCAAGAGATCTGTAGTCTAATAGGTAATGCATGTAAAGAAAATAACTGCAGTGTAATTTATCCCTCTGTGCCCTGGTTTCCTTCTCTGTGAAACACTAGACTAGTATACCTACCCCAGGCTGTTGAGAAAATTAAATGGATTAATAATATTAAAATATTTAGAACAGAGCTTAGCGCTGTTAGCTGCTATTATTAATACTTAATGTGATAAGTCTATAATGGAAGTGTTGTACAAGGTAGAATGGAGTGTCAGCAGCCCTATTTTGAGAATGTTGGAACAGGTTGGAACAAGATCCTGAAGGATCTTGAAGGATCAGGAGGAGTTTTCAGATGTTGTAGAGGAATGCAAGAAGGTACATTGTAAGCAGAGGGAAAAAATGCATGAAAACACACAGATATGAGCCAGCCTAGCACACTCAGAAAACAGAGTAGATCAGAATGATCAGAATGTATGGCACAAAGAGGAGAGGAGCTTAGAGTGGGGGACAGGTTCTGGGTAGCCTTTTCTGCCACACCAAAGAGTTTCCTCTCTGACCTAAGCGGCAATGTAGAAACTAGATTAGAAACACTACCTTCACATCAGTCTCGTCTGAGAAGCTGTGAGTTGGTTCAGCCCTCAAAGCGGTCGTTGTGTACCAGGCATCAGGCTCCAGTAAATGCAGGAGATACTGAAGTGGCAGGCCTGCTGGTGGTGTCTCTGTGGAGCAGCTGACAATCCTCAGTTAACAGAGCTCTGTGCTGATGTGAAAAAAACCTTGCCACAGACCATGGCAGTGGGTGGGTCAGAGCCAAGAGTGAAACCCAAGAGGGAATCCTGAGAATCAGGACTGAAGAAATGGGTTGCCAGCATGCTGACACCCAGTGCTTTCTGGAGCATTGACACACGCTTCTGCTTCCGGGAAGGTGAGTTCAGTGACTGATCCCAATGTTCCTTGACGTCCAGCACTTCTCCCAGGTTGTCTTCACCATCCATTTTGCAGGGTGTTTCCTGATTTCTTCTTACACAGATATTTCCATCTATTATCTGAATTCTAGATTCCTATGTAAAAATTTGGCTTGGGGTTATTTTAAAGCTTTTCAAAGTCATGCCTGTATTCACTTGTGATTTAAAGAGTAGATATATTAATATAGTTGGGAAGCCAAAATAAGGCTAGTGTAATTTAAATTCTAAATATTACCGATTTTAATAGACCTTTTTAAGAATTTTGAATATTTTTTATTGTGGTAAAGTATGTATAACAAAATTTGTCATTTTAACTATTTTTAATTGTATAATTCAGTGGCATAAATTACAGTCACAATGTTGTGCACTGTTGTAGACCCCAGTGCAAGGTAAATTACACTCCCTGCCCTCAAGAAATTTATAATCTAATAGAGAGGTAATGCATGTAAAGAAAATAATTGCAGTGTAATTGATCTCTCTGTGCCTTGGTTTCCTTCTCTGTGAAACACTAGACTAGTATACCCACCCCAGGGTGTTAAGAAAATTAAATGGATTAATAATATTAAAATGCTTAAAACAGAGCTTCTCATCGTCACCACTATCTATTTCTGAAACTTTTCATCACCCCAAACATAAACTGTGCCCATTAACTCTCCCCCTCCAAGCTCCTGGTAACCTCTAATATACTTTCTGTCTCTATGAATTTTCCTATTCTAGGTATTTCCTATAAGTGGCATCATACAAAATTTGTCCTGTTGTGTCTGATTTCACTTAGCATAATGTTTTCAAGGTTCATCCTTGTTATAGCAAAATCAGAACTTCATTCCTTTTTATGGTTGAATAATATTCCATTGTATGTATATGACACATTTTGTTTATCCATTCATCTGTTGATGGACACTTGGGTTGTTTCCATCTCTTGGCTAATGTGAATAATGTAATAAACATCTGTGTAGAGGTATCTGTTTGAGTCCCTGTTTTCAGTTTTTTTTAGTTATATACTCAGTAGACTTTTAAGTTCCCTAAGAGGAGGGTAGCTATTTTATTCATCATTTTTATAACCCATGGCACCAGTATAGTGCATGTTACTTAGGAGCCACTAAGTTAATGTTGAATTACTCAGAATATCTGTCGTGTTTCCTAACTTTAGGAAATAAATTGAATACATGAAGATTTGTTGCTAGGCCATGAAACTGGTATACAATGAAAGTTTAAGCTTTTATTGCCGTCTTCCATCAAGGCAGATTGCTAAGTTTGAACTTCTTAAGAGGAACTTGCTTTAGGTTAAGACTGTATCCTGTTAACTAAAAGGCCAACTGGGTGTTTCATTGTGTGGGTCTGTTTTTCGTTTTTAACAGTGAATGCATAAAAATACAACCAACTGACATCCAGCCTGACATATTCAGCTATTTGTTGCACATCATGTACACGGGGAAAGGGCCAAAACAGATTGTGGATCACAGTCGTTTGGAGGAAGGGATTCGATTTCTTCATGCCGACTACCTTTCTCATATTGCGACCGAAATGAATCAAGTGTTCTCACCAGAGACTGTGCAGTCCTCAAATTTATATGGCATTCAGATCTCAACGACCCAAAAAACAGCTGTCAAACAAGGGCTGGAGGTCAAAGAAGCTCCTTCCAATAACAGTGGAAACAGAGCTGCTGTCCAGGGTGACCACCCCCAGTTGCAGCTCTCTCTTGCTATTGGGCTGGATGATGGCACTGCAGACCAGCAGAGGGCCCACCCTGCCGCCCAGGCCTTGGAGGAGCACCAGAAGCCCCCAGTGTCCATCAAGCAGGAGAGATGTGACCCAGAATCTGTGATTTCTCAGAGCCATCCCTCACCCTCGTCAGAGGTGACAGGCCCCACTTTCACAGAAAGCAGTATCAAAATACACTTATGCCATTACTGTGGTGAACGTTTTGATTCCCGTAGTAATCTAAGGCAACATCTCCACACCCATGTGTCTGGATCCCTCCCGTTTGGTGTCCCTGCTTCCATTCTGGAAAGTAATGACCTTGGTGAAGTGCATCCACTTAATGAAACTAGCGAGGCTCTTGAATGCCGCAGGCTCAGCTCCTTCATTGTCAAGGAGAACGAGCAGCAGCCTGACCACTCGAACCGGGGTACCACAGAGCCTTTGCAGATCAGTCAAGTGTCTTTGATCTCCAAAGACACAGAGCCAGTAGAATTAAACTGTAATTTTTCTTTTTCAAGGAAAAGAAAAATCACCTGTACCATCTGTGGTCATAAATTTCTCCGAAAGAGCCAATTGCTGGAACACATGTACACACACAAAGGTAAATCTTACAGATATAACCGATGCCAAAGATTTGGTAATGCATTAGCCCAGAGATTTCAGCCGTTCTGTGACAGCTGGTCTGATGTCCCCCTGAAAAGTTCTCGCTTGTCGCAAGAACCGTTAGACTCATCTTGTGCCTTAGAGTCAGAGCTCACACAAGAGAATGTGGACACTATCCTAGTTGAGTAGCAGTTTCTCCTTCAGAATTTTTATATCAATTTTGAAAAAAATTAACGTGGATTTTTTTATTCATGAATTATTTTCCTCCTAAAGTTCTATTGACTTTTTTTCTTTGCCATTTATCTATAGTTTTAAGGTTGTATATATTAGGTCTTCTTATTGTAAGATATATTAATACATGACTACTAAAATGTAACCTTCAATTAGGGCTGTGAACTTTTCATAAATCGCAGTTTAGAAATCAGTGTAGAAATATGGAACTTTAGAGTGAATATTTATAGAATTTCTAAGTTACTCTAGATTGTAGAATCAGTAAAAGCAAATTGAATATGAAGTAAGTGAAATCTTTTTAAAAGGATATTCTAGACTATCACTTTTGGCTAATGTTTTATATGAATTAAGCGCCTATGAGGATTATTTTAAAATATTTTCTGCCATATAGAAAGTTACTAGTTATTTTAACGCATAACTATATAACGTAAAAATTTGCTTTAAGGCATAGCTATACCAAATCATGAATAGTTTTAAAATTACTTTTTACTTACTAGCTCTGCAACATCTTACGTGGTTTTTATTTATTTTTTAACATTGAGCATATCTCATTTTCAATAAAAAATATTTTAGGTAAAAAAGAGGGAGAAGAGTGAGACGTCAAAAAAAGCTTAAAGAGAGAAACAGTCAGCTACATACACACAGATGAGTGTGGAAGCCCCAGAGTCAGAGACAGAGAAGAGATTCAGGTAGATCTGTGTTGACTAACACCCCAGTGTTGTCACCTGAACCTAGAGTGTTTTCTTAAAGACCCTAAGAGCAATTTGAGATTTTTATGACCAGGGGTTTACATGAGTTTAAAGAGGAAAATGATAAAATACAAATTATCTTTCTACCCTCAGTGTCAGGAGATTTTCTAGGCTGCCTGAGTTTATGTTAATTTTCTGACAATTGCTTGAAAAAGTAATTTTTCAGTGGCATGGTTTTCACTTTTTTCTGGTCTATAAAACTAGCAGAGTAGATAAAGTCAGTGTCCTGGAACTATGTTTAAAATCCACGATAGCTTTCCCTCTGTGAATAAACTTAACTCCCTTTTATAGTGGTGAAACTTACAAAGCTAAAACTCCAGAAAAATTAAGATTGATGGACTAATGATAGATTCTCCTGCTCTATGTAGCTGGGAAATAGCCGGTCAAACTTCACCACAAAAGATAGATCTAAATTGTTTCTGAAACGTTTAAATTTCAAATACTGTATAGTTAAGAACAATAAAAGAGAGAAGCTTCAAAACAGCCTCATCTTTTTTGTATGCTACCTGTTAAATTCTAAGCCTTTAGATTTTAATAATATCTAACCAATTTGGTTTGTGAAGCTTAGAATTCAACTGCGTACAAAAACTCTTTGAGCTCCTCCCTGACTGCACACTTTTGACGACATTTGCTGACAACATGAGAGTTCCTCAACAGAACGAGTTCAGTGAGGAGGGAGCTCAAAGGGAAATCCAGCTCATTCTGAGGGCACGAAGGTTTTCTGTGGGTAGACAGCAAGTTTAGGTGAATTATGAAATGATAAGTTTTTCTTAAGGCCTGAATAAAGAAAACCAATGGGCATTGTGTAAGGCAGTTGAGTTTCTGCTTTAGACAAGAGAATAAAATCTCCTGAGACTAAGATTCATATGTGTTGGGGGGCCGGCCCCGTGGCTGAGTGGTTAGGTTCCCGAGCTCTGCTTCAGCGGCCCAGGGTTTCGCCAGTTCGGATCCTGGGCGCGGACATGGCAACACTCATCAAGCCACGCTGAGGTGGTGTCCCACATGCCACAGCTAGAAAGACCCACAACTAAAAATACACCACTATGTACCGGGGGGCTTTGGGGAGAAAAAGGAGAAATATAATCTTCAAAAAAAAATAGATTCCTATGTGTTGAGAGCATAATCTAACTAGCTGTTGATAGAGGGTGAGTCGTATTGGGAGGAGTTAAACGCATTGTTCTTTGGGGTCAGACCTTCATCTAATCTTAAACCTAAATCGTTTAAGCAATTATTCAAACTCATAGTGCCCTCACAGATTTCACACAAATATTAACATTGATATCAGGTGTGTTAGGCTATTCAGGATATATTCCCTAGCCTTCTTCAAGGAAAATTCTTTTTTTTCTCCTTCAGGTAACAGTTTTACTGTTTTTTTCCCTTCTATATTCTTTCCTACTTGCTCAGTCATTAGTCCTTGACACAAGAATGGTTGTAGCTAAAGGGTGGGATTGGGGTGCCTAGGAGTTGTGGGGTAGGTAGCATTTCGGGGCCGAGTGAGAGTTTGCTGCGGCTGACTGGCTGTGGTAGACAACATTAATTTAAACCGGAAATATATCCACCTTTGTTGGGTGTTAAGAAAATAGTGGTTAATTGTATTCTTATTCCTATTCCTATAGTTCCTTTTAATATTAGGAATTCAAAGCAAATGTTCTTTCCTTAGTCTTCATAATATCCTCTCTGTTTTAGGGAGTGGAAAAACGTTAACTCCATTTTGAAGAAAAAAAATCCCAAAAACTGGGTTGCCGAGAGCCAGTGAATACTGTTGTGTGACTGGCCCCAGGTTTTTTTTTTTTTCATTCACTCAACAGGCATATTTTTAAAGTAACTGTTATATGATTAACACTGTGCTCTGGGTGTATTTTTTAAAGACATGATTCCTCACTAAGAAAAGCTACTTTGTATAGAAAAGTTCTTCCAGATAAACCTTTTAGTTTTGACTACATCATCTGCAAAATGGAGCTATAATCTTAGTCATATATTATGGCTTACATAATGATTACCAAGCTCTTAAAACTGCCAATGTTATACATACCTTAATCAATGTATCAGGCAAATACTAAACTGACATTTTCCCCTTGGATCAGCTTAGAATTTTCCCTTCTTTCTGGATCCTACATAGTTGTTTTCTGAAGAAAAACAGACTGTTTCAGTATTTGTCCTTATTAGCATATTGTCAGAACTCAGTATCTGATAAGTGAGGTCCACCTTGTAAGAAAACCAAGATTTCTTTGTATATATCTCTTGAGAGTATTATTTCTTGCTCTGATTTTCTGATTTCCCATCCGTAAAGTGGATATAAACAATCCCTACCTCACAGGGGTGTTGTGAGGATTCGTGTTAAAATTGTATTAAGTTCTCTCAGCATTATTGATAAAAACCAACAATATAAAGAAAACTACATTTATTCTGTAGCTAAACTTACTAACTTCACTATTCTAACCCATAAATTCTAGTACATCTGAGGAGCAGTCATATACTATTTAATGCTCAATAATTAATTGACAAAATTCTATTTTTATTTTTTACAAATACTGTAGAAACAGCAGTGTTGCTACAATTCCTCTTCCACCGTAGTTTAATCATCAGTGTTTCTCTTAGCGTTTAGCAAGGAGGATGTTTGTTCTTTGGCATTATTGGGAATAAAACCTTGCCAATTCCAGTTTACTGAAAGTTACCCCCAACGTGTTGTCTACACATAAGAAAAGGAACAAAAGCAATGGAGAGAATGACATTTTGTTTCTTTGATGCAGGTCATCCGAAAACTAGATGGGGACAAGAAATGGAGTGGGGTTAACATAGTAATTCATTATGTTCTATTCAGATAGTATTGGAAAAGGCCTCACTTAAACCTGAAGGAAATACATATTAATCATGGAAAAAGATAGTCTGGAAAATGTATAATTCCATTAACGTTTATTTGCATTGGCAAATTCTTGATGATATAACTCAGATCCTTGAGAAGTATGCTTTTTTTGTAGTAATTAACGTAAAATAGGCCATGTGAGGAGTTTTCATAATGTAAACTGTGTCTTTGTATGTTTTAAACTAAATATAGCTCTATGGTATTTTATTATAATTAATTTTTAAATTGCTAAGAGTGAAATCTGTACCTGATTATTCTCTGCTGTACTTCTGTGTTTGTATCGTTGGACTTTTTGAAAACTGGTGAGATTACACAGTCCCAAGCCTGAATGTCTTATATACCAGGAATCAGAAACTGTGACTTTTGTCTTCAAGACCTGGAAGAATCTTTGTGTTTCAGTCTGTATCTGTGCCACACTTGGTGACCTAGTAGCTTATTGCTCTGATGCAATTGACATTAACTGTCATCAGCTCTTCTGTTTTGTGCCAAATAGTCATTTAGTCAGATCAGATCAAATATCAACTTAAAATACTTTAAAAGAAACTTGGATTTTAAAAACTTCTACAATAAAAAAGGCCCACTGAAGAAATTTTCAAAATACAAGTTACACATAGAAAATACAGGAGCCTGAAATCAATGAGAGATTGCGTGGTTAGACTCTTCCACCTAAAGTACTGTGAGTTTGCTTCAGAAATACTCTTTTAGAAAGTTCTGTATCCTCTATATGGAATGAAAACAGTGGAGTTCCTGTATTTTATCACGACAAATAAATTAATGTGACTTGGTCGTAAACAAAACCTTTTATTAGCTCAGCTTATAGAATGTGTTCTTGTTTTACAGCAGTGTCTCCCAAATGTGTCGTCCTAGTGTGAGGTAAGTGGTCTCTGCCAGGTAACATTTTGGAGGTATGATGCAGTGAGCCCAATTCTTGTCAACCCTGATCTGTGTTAGCAGAAAATTGGTGTCCTAGTCAAGTGCTTTCCAACTCCCATCCCTGGAGAGAAAGGTAATGTCTAGTCATTCCCCAGCCATGTCTTGCTTTGCTCCTTTCTTTCTTCCCTATTTACTCTCTACTATATCTCCTCCAGTACCATAATCTACAACAGTGGTTCTCAACCAGGATGTATTAGAGGAACAGAAGCAACAGGATGTGTGTGTATGTGTGTGTATGTGTGTGTATGTGTATACACAGTATGTGTGTTCGTATACATAGTATATACAGAGAGACTGATTAGAAGGAGTTGGCTCACACAATTACAGAGGCTGAGAAGTCCCAAGATCTACAGTTGGCAGGCTGGAGACCCAGGAGACCTGATGGTATAGTTCCATTCCAAAAGCCAGCAGGTTCGAGACCCACAAAGGCAGGAAAACACCAGTTCCCAGCTCAATAGTCAGGTGGGAGAAGCTCCTCTTCCTCTCAGAAGGGTCAGCTCTTTTGTTCATTTGTAGCCCTTCAACTGATTGCCACATTAGGGAGGACAGTCTGCTCTCCTCAGTCTGCCGATTCAAATGTTCATCTCATCCGAAACACCCTCACAGACACACCCAGAACAACGTTTGAGCAAATATCTGGGCACCCTGTGGCTCAGTCAAGTTGACACATAAAGTTAACCAGCACACAGGGTGATCCCTGTCATCCTGGGGACATTTGGTTATGTGGAGCTGTTTTTGGTTGTCACACTGAGTGGCGTAAGGGGCAGGTTGCTACTGGCATCTAGTGAGTAGAGGCCAGGGATGCTGCTAAACATTTCACAATGCAGTTTATCTGGGCCAAATGTCCGCAGTGCTGAGGTTGACTAAAAGCTTAAAGTGAGTTTTGCAATGGTTGTCAATAGCTAAAGAATGCAAAGAAAGTTAAATTTGGGGATTTATGCCCTAGTTATCCTTGAAGTTAATAATGTTCTTATGGAGTATGAGATGTGTTAGCTCTGAATTAAGTTCTATTTTTATTATCCTTTATGGAAGCTTTTAAAAAATAAAAAGTGTGATTATTAAAAATCAGAGATGTATTAAGCAGCAAGACAGTTTTAAATCTATTAATATAATGTTTGAAATAATTGTGTGTCTAAGAAGGTCTCTTTGTGAAATTAAAATGTCATCGTAGGTTGTAATTTGTGTAAATTTTTAATCTTGCCAAAAGGTGGCAGCAGTATACCTTTTGAAAATCTATTCCACGTTAAGCTCAAATTTGGCGTCACTACTTAATTCACTATTTAGTAGTTAGCTACTGCCAGATCTTACTTTACTTTATAGAGTCATGACTAATGAGCATTTTTCTAGAATTCCATAATATGTTAGGTGCTGAAATATCTTGACATCCCTCTTTGATCAAGATATTTCTAATTTACATGTAAATCTATTATAGCAGCAGCAAACTTTTTAAAATATCACATTTACTGTGATTGTTATATTCAGCATTTCTGAGGATTCTTGTAAGTCTTTAACAGTAAGGCTTAGAATTTCAGTCCCAATCACATTTGCTCTTCTAATCAGGCATCAGACTCAGTTTTTGGTGTTCTGCCTGGTCAAGAGATAAATCAGAGACATTTGAGTAAACACTCCTTGTTTCTTGCCTCTTGTTTCTTTTCTTCACATCCACAACCTGTGAGGTTGGCCTGTATATTATTTCCTGGAATTAATTTTCTCTTTCAACTATGGTTCAACAACTGACTTTGTAACTTGGTGTTCTTTATTCCTTTCTCCCCTCACCTCCATTCTCTGAGCAAGTTGAGACCTTCTGAATCTTGAATAGAGTTCTTTCACCTTCAGCTCTTCTTGCCTTCCAATAGTGAATACAGTCTGCCCTCTTTTTTCTCCCATCATTTCTGCTTGCAACATTATTATTAATATTATCCTAGGACTTTGCAGCTCATCATCAAATGCTTGTCTTAAATTTATTTTACAGCTGATTAGCCAGCTTAAAGAATGAACCCACTTCCTCTAAAATAAATTCTCTTCCAGTGTCTATACAATGTTGAAACTTTTTTCATTGAAACAACATGGTGATACTGTATCAAAATAATGAAAATAAAGTATTTTCCCTTAAGCTGTTAGAAAACCATGGCGTCCTTTCTTGTCAGAAGTCTGCGGGAACAGCACTGTCCTGGGAGGGGTTCTCTGCACAACTGGACTGGTCCTGCTCTCCTAGGAACTGGGGGAGAAGCTTGTGCAGGAAGGAAGCTTGAGAAGGAGGCCCTTATCAGCTGTAGTTGTCACCCCTTGGTGGTCTATATGTTATACTCAATTTCAGGAAGTACAAGTGTACAAATGATTGAATTTCAGGAAGGTCCATGTTAGATTTTTGTGGACCAAACAGGCTTTTGAGGGGTGAGATCTTGTGAATTTACTGCTGCCACATTTTTCTGTAGTGGAAGGTATGTGGTGCTTAGTCCAAACCATATGTAGGTAAGTATCTAATTAGAAAATTTTTTTTGGTAACTGGTATTTGTAATAACTGCCTTGTAGGGAGGAAAATCTAAGAACCTGTGCTGGTTCTTTACAAAAAGGATATAACATTTGCAAATATAAGGGGAAAGGTTTTAAAATGCAGACCAAAGATTCCAGTGGAGTGAGTCTCAAAAGTTTTTTTGCTGGACCAGTTCTCATTTCCCAACATTGCCCTTCTTACACATATATGCAAAGTCTGGTGCTATGAGCTCAGAGGTTACTGTCCTCTTTCTAGCACAGTATTTTAAAGTGTGGGAGGGCAGGCGTATAAACAGAAGACTCCTCTTTTTATTTTAACCATCTCCTGTTTTGCAGATCTCTCAGACTGTAGGCTACATTCAGAGCCACCACGTATGACCGTGCAGATTGTGCACAATAAATGCTCGGGGGCGCCACTCACCAAATCAGTGCTGCTCCTGGAGAGGGGCTATGCACAGTTTGCACAGCTGTGCATGGCAGCCCTGACTTTCCCTACCCTGGCTTAAAGGTTGGGTGTAAGAAGCCCTGATTTTGAATTTCTGCAGCAAGTAGCAGTTTTCACTGATGCAGCCAGGAAATTATATTAAACTAAAATACACAGGTGATAAAAAGAACAATGAAATCAGAATAAGGGAAAAACAGTACTCCCGAGGTGACACAACTTTATATGTTTGTCAAAATTTGGAGGACTGAACTAAAAAGGGTGAATTTTACTGTATTTAAATTATACCTTCATGGAAAAAAAATATTAAAATCACCCAGATGAATATAGATAAGCCTTAGAGTTTAATGAACCATAATGATTGTCATTCAGTATTAACCCTTCACAGATCAGAAAAACATCAGCCAGACATTAAGGGTATGTAGGAAACTCATAAAACTAAAAAGGTAATTCTAAGCAAATTCAGTCTGAAATCAGTGAAATTACTGATAAGGCCGTTTGTGGCACATCTGGATAAAAGATCAGAAAATTAGGTTGACTTTTTTCACCTGAATTGAGTAGTGACCAGTTGTTTCAGCATTCAGTATATCTCAACTTTACACAGAGCACAAGGACGGTTCTAACTAGTTCCGATCAGGAGGATGGACACACTCTGGTGCTAGATGACCTGTTTAAAAAAGAGCAGTGATATTCTAAGGTTTTTTGCCACAAATGGCTGTTCCACATGGAACCTCTGCATTGTAGTTTATATATGAGGATATCTGATTGATTTGAGCATGCATGTCTCTAGCTGCGTTAGTTGTGACTGATTGATCACAGATGTGGTCCAGAGACCCACTGACCAGACCTTCTTATAAGTAGGAATTTGGGAATAAAAAGTTCGAGTACAAGTGTACAAATGATTACATCTGCTTTTGTGTCACCCTGTGTTCCCCATCTCCCAGGAGTGCAGGGGTGGGAGGCCTGGATTTACGGTCACAGGTATAGCTGTGAACAGTGTATGAAAGGCTTAATCACTTCCCCCTAATTGCACTGTCATAAAGATCAAGATAAGGCTAAGGTTCTATTCGAGTTTAGCTGCAAAGCACATGGTGGGCAAAGTGCATCAGTCTTGCTAATGTGCAGAAACTGCTGGACCCTGCTGCCACTGCTGTTATGGTAGGTTGGAATTTTCAGACAATTTTTAGTTTGGAAGTTTTCCAGGCTAGGGGGCGCTGCACCATCCTCCCCTCACCTAGATTCTCCTGAATTGTTCACGGTGCCTTTGCCCAGCTTTGCTGAGGATTTTCTGCAGATGTGTAGTATGTTCATGTACACACACACATATACTCACTCTCTTTCCTAAGCTCAGGAACTTAGCCCCTAGTGATCACAAGCTTTCAGGGAGAAAGGGAAAAGTAGTTACTCACATAGGGGTTGGGGACTCCAGACTTCAGCTTTAATGGGAGTTCTAAAAAGGGGTTAGCAGAATTGCAGGAGAGGACAAGTTTGCAAAAAGTAGTGTATCTTTCTTTTACATTAGAAAGATGTGATTTAATATAAATTTTAAAATTCTACAAATATGAAATATTAAGTACCTTATGTACAGTGTTTGTACGTTAATAAGACATTTTGCTTTGGAACAAGGTTTAGTTTTAGGACTTTTTTTTTTTTTTTAAAGATTTTATTTTATTTTATTTTTTCTCCCCAAAGCCCCCAGTACATAGTTGTATATTCTTTGTTGTGGGTCCCTCTAGTTGTGGTATGTGGGACGCTGCCTCAGCGTGGTTTTGATGAGCAGTGCCATGTCCGCGCCCCAGGATTCGAACCAACGAAACACTGGGTCGCCTGCAGCGGAGCGCGCGAACTTAACCACTCGGCCACGGGGCCAGCCCCTAGTTTTAGGACTTTTAAGGCACTGTCAACTTTAAATTGGTCCCAAGATTGGAAAGTCCACTCTTTCGTCAAGCCCAGTGATTATCATTGGGTGGTGCTTCAGAGAAAACAGAGTTGACTGTCAACATTAGGGGAATAAAATCAGTGTTTTAGTAAACACAGAACTTTCAAAACACCCAGCTTTAACCAGGCACCATCTGAATCATTTACATTTTTCACATCAAGATTGTTTAGTTATTTGGAAAATCATAAAGATTATTAATTCATAGTTTAATGTAGAAAGGACAACTGAGTACAGCAAGAGATAGAACAAGTGCACTTCTGTCAGATTCATAGATGGCATCAAAATCAGAATTGCCCTTTAGATGGAGAGAGGTTAATGAAACAATTTGAGTTCTAGGTGTCTGTGCTTCTCTTTGCTGGAGGCAGCTCTTTAGGCATATGTCGTTGTGAAGTCTATCCCACACCCCATCAGCAGATAGCTACTAGAATGTTCGGTAGTGCTAACTCAGTAGTTCCATCAGTGTGATCTTTATATTTTTAGGAAATGAAGATCATATACCACGTTTCTCTTAAAAGATTTGGATAAATTAAATAAACATGAGCCAATACAACATTTATTCTGTATTAATAGTATATGTATTAATTCAGGTTGAAATCTTTTTTTTACAGAGTATTATTTCTTTAATATTAGCATCTGATCCACAATAATATAGTACTAATTTAAATGAGAAATACAAAATGCAACTTTTACTTTCATAATAGCTCATCCACTTAACATTTTTATAGACAAAGAACTACTATAAATATGTAACATTACGCAGGTCTTTTTTTGCACCTGTTCACAAGTCAGAATGAATACACTGTTTAACTACTGAGAGACTGAATGCTTTCAAACTGCTCCTGTATTTATATGACCACTTCCCCACATCAGACAGAGTTTATCCCTTTCTCTCTGTTCTCCCCCCTCTGGCACTCACGATGCTGCATTACCTGTGGCTCTTGGCCTCAGCCCGTCCCAGTTACACTGCTGCTGCTCCCTAGGTTGAGCTCTGAGAGGACAGGGAGCCTGTCCCCTTTATCAAACAGTGTTTGGCATGTGTTATACCCAACACATGTTGAATCAAGTTGAATTTAATCAGGACATCTAAGTTTTATGTAGCTTCCTTCTGTTAAATCTTTGTAACTAAATAAGGATCATTACAAAAAATTATTTTCAAAAGTGTACCATAAAATGTACCATATATTGAAAATTTGAATTCTGTATAATAAGAAACTTCATGTTACACAATAAAACATCATAGGAATTTGAACCTAAAGAACTCTAAACCTTAAATGAAGATTTTTAAAAATGCAGAAATGGCAGGCAGAAAAGTCAACCCCTGAAATATTGAATATCAGGAATTAGAAAGTAGACTTTACATATTTAAGTAGAGAATCTTTTCAAACAATGGGATTCTAAAGCCTAACAATTATTTTAAAAATTGTGCTTTAAATCCCCCCAAAATTAATTCTTAACTATAAAAAATAAGGCAACTTGAAGTTAGAAATTTACTGGTGAAGTTAACTGGATTGCATGCGGCAGCCAGATTTGACTGGGACCCTCTCCTGACCCACGTCTCTCAAAGCCTCTAGCAGCAAGGCCATTCACACACACTAGTGAAATAACATAATCTCTCAGAAGTAAATCAGAGGGTTTCTAAGGCTCCACTCAATGGTAGATCAATTAAGATCATCACAGACTTCATGCTGTCAAATAGATTACCTTGAAAGAAAATTATGCAGACGGCTTTTCTGAACTCCATTTGTGCCACATGCTTCTTATTCTTTGAGGTGGAGGAGGTGGCAGAGAGCATAATTTCTGTTTGAAAGTTCTTTTGTTTTCTGCTACTTTTACTCAAATGTTATCGGCTACTATTTTTATATCCTACAAAGTACTTTAAGAAAATGTAAGTGAATAGTGCTCCATGAAATAGAGGAGGATTTTCATATTCACTGTGTTGTAAAGCACAGTGAATAATACTTGACTTTTAAAAGGGGGAAGATGATATGCTGAAAAAATTAAAAAGCATCTAATAAACCAACCAGCCTTGTAAAATTCTGAGTTCAAAGAGAAAGTGAATCCCAGCTAATTATTGTTCACTAAAAGCAGCATTTATAGCACAGCAAATTTAAATGAAAATTAATATAGTGTTATTAAATTGCCTTTTAAACAATCATTTACATATTGTCAAATAGATGTGAATTGAATAAGAATCTATTTCATTTAATGTCTTGCATATAAGGTCAAATTGCGTAAAATAAATGCCATTATAATAAAAAATATTTTATGGAAGACCTCCAAGTCATCTGATTCTTAATTATTTCTATAACAAAACAATTTGGGTCACTTTAGAATTCACTGTAGTAGCATTTGACCAGTTAGATTCCAGATTCCTTTTTCAAACTGGAATCCTTATTTAATTCACCAGATAGTCTCAATAGAAAAGATTGAGGAGAGAGGCCAGCCCAGTGGTGCAGCGGTTAAGTGGGCACGTTCTGATTTGGCGGCCCGGGGTTTGCCGGTTCGGATCCCGGGTGCGGACATGGCACCCCTCATCAAGCCATGCTGTGGCGGGCGTCCTACATATAAAGTAGAGGAAGATGGGCACGGATGTTAGCTCACGGCCAGTCTTCCTCAGCAAAAAGAGGAGGATTGGCAGATGTTAGCTCAGGGCTAATCTTCCCCGGGGGGCGGGGGGGAAAAGACTGAGGAGAAAACAACCATTTAAGAATGAATGCAAGTAGAGTACATATTTCATCACAAAAATCAGTTATAGTATATTCTAACCAAAAATATATATCAAACTACAATGAAAAAAAATAGAAACCTAGGTCTCGTTAGATAAAATGTTATTTCTTAACAAAAAAATTCATTACATGTATTTACCTCGTTTCTCTTTTTAAAACTCCCAAATAAATTGCCTAAACTTTTCAAAATATTTTCAATAACTGATAAGAGCTGTACTTTTTGCTCAGGCATGAGAGATTACTAAAAACTTAAAATGCAAGTATATTGGCTTGAGCCATCCTTGCAGTAAATAAAGGCAGGATTCTTCAAAACACTGTAAAATGCACCAACTTTAATCAGGTTTTTAAAATTGTTCATTTTTAAATATGGTATGATATTTGCTGGTAGCTGTCCAAGTCTGTTAGCACCACATAGAGTGACTTAAAAAGAGTATTTTTAGGAAGGATGACTTAGCAGTCTTTTTTTAAAAAAAAGTTTAAAAGTTATATAATCAAAATTTCTTAAATGAATTTCTTGGGTCATGTGTTTTGAAAGATCCACTTTTCATCTTGCTAAATTGGAGGCGTTTAGTGGGCCCCCCTCCCCAAAGTTTATAAGCATGAAGGTAGGAAAAGCTGGGGGAATACTTTTGCGCTTCAGCAAAGAACCTTTCTCATAATATCCATTATTTGCTTCATTTCCAAATTCAGATAAGGTTCTTCTGCCAGAGGTCTCAATATGTACTTACAGAAAGAAACAAGATTCTATAGGACAAATTAGCACGTACTTTCCATATGCAATCCACAAATAATGCAGTAAGTCACCAGCTCATTTAAAATCATCTAAGGTACATTTTTTTCTCCAAGGATGTACAAATACTTTTTAACAAACACCTTATACCTCGAGTGAAAGCTTTCCATGACGTCATCTACTTTCCGAGTAACACTGTCACTCAGTTTAGACAGTGGGGGACTGCACAGCATGAACCCTAGTCTCTGAGGCAGGGAGCTTGTTGTAGTAGTGTGGTCATTTTACACAAGAAACGATTGAAATAGAGTGACTTTTTCAAAAAAAAGGCAATCATTGATGAGATTGATGATTTAAATAACTAAATAAAATGCAAATAAGCCCTTCTCATTGTTATATTAAGTTCACTATTTTGTAAGGGATTAGCTGGACTAAAATATGGATGAAAAAGTTAATTTTCAATCTCCATGTAAAATGTTTTTTACTGGTGTCTCAACAGACAGGCACAATGAAAGAATATTGACATTTAAAGTATAATGTGCTTTGGCAATAACTTTTCACTTTCTGTTCAACCGTGTACTTGGCTCATTCTAGGTCAAGAATGAATAACATTTTCACTAAATTATTGTGATTTCCTAGGAGTTTTACTGCCAGGCTGGCTTTGAATTCCCTTTCCCCTTCTCTTTGAGAGGCTGATGAGTATGGCTCTAGAGAAGTCATCCTGACAGATGAATCCTGTTATCTGCAATATTTGTTACTTGGGGAGTTTGCCTTCTCCTGGATGGAAAAGAATGTTCCACTCCTGTTGTTTTTCTTCTTGCTGTTGTTTTAGTTTTTGTTGCTAACTTTTCAGCAGATGATCCCATGCAGAAACGGATTTATACAGGTCTCTTTGAGGCAGAAGAAAGATGGAGAGGGAAAATGCACTCCCTGCTTCCACACCTTGGCACTTGGTAATTATTTGCCTGTTTGAAGCAATTTGTGAATGGCTTTTGTAAGGGACATGAGAAAGACCGGAAAACCACTCATGTTTAATTCAAATATGCATATTCTGCTGAAACTGGGAAAATGCAATATTTTTTTGAGGTGAGACTACTGCCTAGGAGTGTAACAACTCTGAATCACACATTCACAAAAATAGCTCACCTTATTCACTGTTTCAAACAACATAAAAGTGCACTGTAAAAAAAAGTTTTTGGAAAACTGAATGGGATGTTAACCAATACAGAGGGTTGAACTATCACAAGGAAACCAGGCTTTGTGACGTCAGAGGATATCAAAGAGCTTATGGCATACTGTAAGAGCTCCATAAATACATCTTCTTCCCAGCATCTCAATCACCACAGGTGATTTTAGCAGCTCCGTCTGTGTCTCCTTGCATCGTAGTCTGTACTGACTTCCTCCAACCCAGAAGTGACTGCATTTCAGTGTTAGGGAGAGTTTTATTAACTTGATTAATTCTTTAGCACTTCTGGGCTGGAATTATACCTTTAAATTCCACAGATGATAAATCTCTCATTTGTTACTGAGTAAGAAATGCCACAAACATGTAAAATAATTCATCATTAAGCTTTTTTTTCCCTCCCATGATCTGGAAATTAAGTCACTGTAGAAGGTTGTTTATTTTCTTGTCATCAGAGGCCATTTCATTGACGAGCTGTTCTATAGACAACTGGATAGCATTCTTGACAAGAGAAGAGGCTGTTTCTATTAAAAGTGTTTCATATTGTTCTGAAGTTCTACCTTCAAAACCACTGTCATTAGCAAAAACTCCTACTTGCTCATTTTCCATTGACATTAAGAATTGCTTAGGGACATTTTTAGATTTCTTAACATCAAATTCACTGATTTCAGTGTCTGTAATAATAATAGCAATTGGCTCCATTCTTTTGCTTTCTTCTGGTTTGGGTTTCTCTGCATTGATCTCATTTTCTTTAAAGCCTGATTCCTGGCTCAATTCAGTGTCTTTTGGCTTACTCTCTTCAGCTACAATCTCTCTACTTTCATAGTCTTTCCAATCTGGTCCACTTTCTAGGATACTGTTTCTGGCTTCTTCCACAATTTGTTGATCTGGGATTGCAGGTGAGGGCGAAACATCAGAAACCACTGGTAGCAGGTGTTCTGTTTCTGAAATTTCAAGTGGGCTTGCCTGCTGGGGTTGAACACTTTGCTTTTCCTCAGTCATCTCAATATCTTTTTCAAGAATTAGAGTTCCTGTTTGAATAGCAGAAGGCCCCATATCTAACCCAACTTCTACTGAAATCACTGTCTCTCCAGGAGAAATTATGCTGTTGCTCACATTGAATTCACAGACCTCATCAGTCCCTTTCTGAGAGACATCTTCACTTACATCCTGGGTGACCTTGGTCTTTGTGGCCTGGTCATCTGATTGGGTCAGAGTTTTTGTATCCAAACTTTCAGCTTCTCCCTGGACTCTGATGCTGCAGTCTGAGTCTTCAATAATTTTGGAATGATTACTTCTTTTCTCCCCTTTGGAGAATTTTATGCAGGGAATCTTAAGTCTGGATTTTGCCTTTTTCTTAGAAGGATCAGCATCTTCAGCATTGATTTCAGGTTGCACTTTAGCCTCAAAGAGCTTCTGCTGCTTTGAAGAATCTGACCTTTTCCTGCGTGTTACAAGACGTTTGATTGAGGCCCAGGCCCCCACTTGGGGTTGTGGCTGATCAGAAGCGCCTGCTTCTAGGGGACACTTCCTTGCCACACCAGCAGCGTCAGAGCCGACTCTGGGCTTCACCGCTTTGGCTGGTTTCTTTCTTCTCTTGAAGCAAAGCATCGATGCCTCTTCTTCCTGCCTCTTATCCTGAGGACTAACTTCTGCTGGTCTCTTCTCATCCTTGCTTTCTACTTGAATTTCAGAAACTGTGGTCTCCATTTTTACATTACACTCTCTTTCTCCAGAAAACTGTATTCCTTCTTCCTTAGCAGCCTTTTATGACAAAAAGGTGGGCAAAAACATCATACTAAGTAAAATTTCTTCCAGGTGTATCCACTCTTTTCGTCTTACTCCATATAGTTGTTAAGGAGGTTTCTCCAGTATACAAATGCCTAGTTTCTCTATTGTAATTTCTCTCTTTAATTTCTTCACGAAAGCCCTTTACTGGGTAGATTTTTGTTTTATTTAACGATCAACCTGATGAGAGAAAAGAGAGTGGTGTTTTATTTCACCATCAGCCTATTGTTTTCTACAGAAACTATTTCAGTTGAATGTATATGATTCTACTAGGCATGTTTCCCATATAATAACTTACTGAAATGAGTAGAGAATAAAAATTGAGATTTACTTTACCCCTATCAAAAAGATTTCAATGTGAATCTATTTTGCTCTGTTCTCTTTGTTAAAACTTCATTTTTGATTACTCTGAAAATCTGATATTATTTTATCAATTCTTTAGTTGGGCTGTCTTTATGAATTGTTTATGACTCTGAATTGCAAGTTAACAAACAAAAAAACCGGTGAAGGGCAGGATGATAAGCAAGCTAGTATAATTTTTACTACATGCAATAAAGAATTCTGAAGCTGCAAAGGATCTTAGAGATTACTCAAGATTATTCAGGTCCAGCCAGATGGAGAAACTGAGCTCCAGAGTGGGCAGTTGGCCTGCTGAAAGCCATACAGCTAGATAAGGTCATAGCCAGAGTTAGAACTGAAGACTTTGACTCCCCACTGTTCTTCCCATTATACCATAAGGCTTCTGTTCTAAAAATGTATGTTCCATCAAGGAGGTGCTACTTTTCATACATACTCTTGGGAAATTTAACATTACTGTCATTTTCTACTCTCAAATTTAGTTATATAATTTTGACATTTTTCCCCCCAAGTATCTGCTGTTCAGACATTTTCCATAATGAGCACACAGTTGAAGGTCAGTAAGAGTGAATGATAATAATAGCTGACATTTATTGAGCAACTCCTGTGTATCAGGAAGTGCTAAGCACTTTTACTTACATCTCTATTCCTCCCCACAACATCCCAAAGTCAGTGGGTGGTGGCATCACCATCTGCAGATGAAGAAATGGGGCTGGAGAGGTTAAGCAACTTGCCCGAGATTACGCAGGTAGTGGGTAACAGAGCTCAGGGTCACCCCAAAACTGCCTGTTTCTGAAGCCTATGCTCTGAAACGGCTTTAAGAATTTCATCAGAAAAGGGAATTGTTTGCAGAATCCCATCTGCTCTAGATTCACTAGTCAAAAATTTATGAAATGGTTTAATGGTCATTTAACCATAATGCAAGCCCATCAACTCATAATTAAACCAAGATTAGACTACATTCTTGCTATCTGAAAATCGAGCTTTTGAAATTCTTTATATTTTGTTTTCTTGGTTCTGGAACTAATTTGAAAGCCAAATATAAGTTGATAAGCTATGCAATTGGCAAACTGACTAGTTATATATAAATATAAAGGTATGTTTTAAAATTAATCCACAGAATGGTGTGATGGTACCGATGAACAGAGATGTGAGGTGATCATCTAACAACATTCCTAAGAATTTAGTTGATGGATGTCCTAAAATAAGCAAAGAGACTCCTTCCTTGTACTGTTTTTATGTAAATCCTTCATTGTTGAAAGTTTATTTCAGTAGCTCCTGATTTTGTGAACCACAAAAGGAACTAGAACTCTGAAAATCAGTTTATGATCTAAGTAAATATTCCCTTAGGTTGGGTGGTACATACTCCATGCCTCTGACAGAAAGACAGTCATCCTAAACAACACTGGAACGAAGATACGAACATTTTACTGCGTCTCTCCTCATATAATGCTTCCGTCAGCACTAGAACCACACAGCTGGTTATAGCTCTTTGTCTTCTCACCTCTTGTGAGTTCTCAGCGCCTGAGAGTTTTTGTTAACCAGAGGATGTATAACTAATAGAAATATTGACATTAGATCACGTTTAGGAATGTATCATTTGAAACTAACCTGGATTGCCCGAAGACAACTGTTTGAGAAGCTCACTTGAACATCTATCACACTGTAGAAATAAAACAAATACTCAAACAAAAACCTAACTGAAATCGGGAAAATGCAGTCTGTAGACAATAAAACTTTGCAGAATGTTAGATTGCAAACGATTCGTCTTTAACCTGCAAGGATAGTTTTATCGCCTCAGGAATCTTAAAGTCTCTATTCTCATTTCCCGATAGAATCATAAGTCCAATGCCACAGAAAATGCCCCTTCTCTTTTTCCCTTGAGCAGAGAAGCACGGAGGCGAAGGGCAGCGACTGCCTGAGAAAAGCAGCGACTCTCCCCCAGCGCCAGACGCGGACGAAGCTTCCTCCCGGAGGAAGGCGTCTCTCCTGGCTCGACGCGCTGTGGCAGGAGCTAGCGCGCAGCAGAAAGTACTCAAAAAGGAAAGTGCCGGGGGCGTGGAGCAGATAACCCAGCTTCAAGCTATCCGCAGAATTATAATGACCAGGAACCCCAAATCACATTTCCCCCAAAAAAGGAGAAAGAAGGAAAAAGCTAAAGGCAACTCATGCTTCTAGGACGGGCTGTCACGCGAAGAGGGTAGGTGGGCAGAACTGAGCAGGGTCGCGCTGGCTGAGACGCCTGGGACAAACGACCTTCCCGGTTCTCACCTCGGCCATCTCGGGGGCCCGGGTTCCCGGTGTCCAGCGGCACCTCTCGCCTACCCTGCCGCCCAGGCGGTCAGCGGACCGGACCCTGCAACCTCCTCGCCCTCCACTTACCGAAGACGCCGGGGTCCCTGTCCGACTCTGCTGCCGAGGTCGGGGGGCGCTCGCGGGGCCAGGCGCCCAGGCAGCCGGGAAGCCACGGTCGCACCTGGAGCAAGCAGCCCTCTGCAGAGGGACCGCAGCCCTGCGGCGCCCCCTCCCCAGAGCGCGGGGACCGACAGCCAGCGGCACCAATGCGTGCGGAGCGGGCGGGCGGGCGCGGGGCGGGGCCCGGGCGGCGGGCGCGGGGCGATTGGAGGTCACCTGCCAGCAGCGTGCCCCCCCGCGGGAGCAGCCCTTGGCGCCCCTAGCCCGGGCGCGAATCCCCGCAGCGCGACCTCATCCGGGCCACGGCAGCCACAGCGAGAGAGAGCCGGCAGATGGGGAGGGGACCAGGGTAGTGAGCCCCACATTTTCTGAGACGCGAAGTAGAAAATCTGGTTTTAAATAATAGGCACTCCCATTGGAACCTACCCCCTACAACGAATATTTGGACATAGCAGATACCACATTTTAAAAGTAGGATTCAAAACTGTGCCGTGTGAAGTCTCATTTGGAGAGAAAATTAAATATATGAATTGAAACAGAAAAAAGCAAAACTTTCCCAGGAGTGCGTTTGGGTGTAATGAGACCACGGTTCATTCCCAGACTCAAAGGCCCGAGACCAGACCCTTGTCTCCCTGGTCTCGGGGGCAGGTAGAGATGATGCAACCTATGCGCAGCCGAGGCCAGAAGGGCACAGGAACCCAGCTCCACCCATCTTCCATACCTTTTATATTTCCAAAAATAAGTTCAGGTAGATGCGGGTTACCCCTTCAGGATATTCCTGGATGTCTACTTAACCTTGTCCCTCTCACTTAAGCGGGGGTGGAAAGCGGGAGATGGCTTTCTTCACAATTCCAGTTCCAGTCAGAGCAAAGGCCACAGGCAACATCTACTCTCCTGCCTGACTGGCTAGCTTGTGTATTTTCATACATTTCTGAGACTTTATCTAAACAAGTTACTACCCATACTGAAAAGCATCACAAGCATTTATCTGTGCACATACGCATTAATGTATACCCAAGGTGTTGCTACGATTGCTTAGGGTGACTGTCTTTGGGTTTACCATTACCAACAAGGGCATTCCTTGGAGCTCCAGCTGTGAGGCCCTGCAAGATGCAGAATTCCTGCCTCCCCCTGGTGTCTGTACACCACCCAGATGAAGGTGGAGAGGACTACCGGAGAGCAGCTGTCTCCCTCCCCTTTCTTCAATAGGATCATCATCTTTGGGAGCGTAAATCTGTTATCCATTTTTGGATGTTTTTCCAGGAATACATTTTACCCTTGTAAGATCCTATAGCTTCCACTGAGATTTATTAAGGGAAGAACTATTAGCACACAATAGCAAAGCAGAATCTAAGTTGTCAAGATCTTAAATCTACTGATAAAAGTTAGAGACAAGAGCTGCAAAACAGGAAAATCTATAGGCATCTAGTTTAGTTGTATTAAGAATTCAATTTATCTTTGTTCATTCAGCAAACACCAGTCTGTGAAAATGTCCTTTATGTCCCCAGATAAGCTGCTAACCCCGCCTACTGTCAGTTTTCAACTTTAAAGAAGCCAAAAGAAATCCAAGAACTCACAATCAATTGAGATCCAAGTTTTCTCAAATCCAGCAGATCAGGGAGTTTGCAACAAGTTCAGACAAAAATAAAATGAGCTTATGTAGATGAAGACAGGGTAGAACGTGGTCTTATTAGGAAGTAGTTGGAAATGAAACAAGGGACGGTTAAAACAATAAGGGTCACCGTAATGACTTGTAGATCTTATTTCACTTGCTTTTCTTAAAAAAAAAAAAAAAAATAGTGAAAGGGAGCTGAAGGGCAGTTTGAGGTAAGAGGTGAATTGCTCTTGTATCTGAAAGGCAGGTTTCTTTAAGGTATATGACAACTCATCCCCAGCCTCCAGCGCACGCACACACTCACGCAGAGTATAGTGCTATAAATAAAATACTGCACTGTGGTTTTTCTTTAGGACATGACTAGAACCTGATGCCATATCTGAGTTGAAAAAAATGTACCCAGTACCTCATGCATGAAAGAAATCTGTCATTCCTGAACTCACTTAAGTGACAGTGAGACTGTTTAAGCTATTACCCATATCATTGTCTGTGACTCCATTAGTAGCTTTTCATTATATAATGAGAAACAGGTTATAAATATATCTCTCCAATTAGATGAAAAATTATCCTACCTACTGCTTGTTAACATCACCAGATACCAATAAAATAGCTTGCATATGTATCTGAACGCATTTATCTGCTCTCTGTTGATCATACCGTTTCTCCCATCCTGGTCCTTATCTACCCATGCCTGGGCCTGTAGCTACCAAAAATGGTTGACAACTCCTTTGTAATGTTTCTTACATTTTAGAGACCTTCTGGGAATAAGCCTGCCATCCCCCTTCCCTGGTACACCATTAAATGAACCTGTGGCCCCAGTTCTCAGGAGGTTTGATCTGTTCCTGGGCACCATCAGGGCTGCAACAGCCAACAGAAACTCAACAGTAATTCTGTTAGAATCAGCTTTACTTGGCAGCACATAAATGCTGTCTCTTTCGTAAGAGTGTATCTACATCTTCAATGCACAGCAATAGCCTCTGAGGTGCAGCTCTGAGAAGGAGCAATCTTATTATCAGTGATATTACAAATATGGGGAGGGAAGGCATTAGCAGCCAGAGAAGGGCAAGGATGGGACAGGGAAGCCAGCGATCAGGAAGGACTCCTAGCCCCAAGGTAAAGGCACTGGACCGTCTCTGGCAACACATACTATTACATACCCCACACACTAATGCTTCTGTAGGTCTTGAATTCAGGACTTCAGTTAGCCTACAGCTATTGTTTGTGCTTCATGCCTTCTCTTTATCACACATCTTCTTTATCACAGATTGAAGAATCATTCCACAAAACCCATGCTCTCAATATTGCTCAGCAGCCTTCCTCACCTCTTTATCTCTTCCCTTTGCTCTCCACCGTTTATCATCCCTCCCTTCTGAAGGGATGTGAAATGGGCACGGCTTTCCACCTGTCACAAATGGGTGTCCATTTCTGTACAACCTGGCAGGGGCTGCCTTTAGGAGGAGCTCTGAAAGGCAGAATATAGTGAAGAGCAGAGGCTCTGGGGTCAGACAACCTAACAAGTTCATCTGGCAGGCAGTAGCAGTGCACTTTTCAAGTTTGCCTTTCTGTAAAATGGAGAGATAAACCTAACTTACAGATTTCTTCTGTTTATCTCTACTCATTTCCAGCCAAAGGTCAGCTCCCATTTTGAAGCTAGAGGTCACTCATTGGGCAATTCTATTGCTAGGAATTTATCCTGTAGATGGTTCTACACAAGTTGCAAAGACAGATATGACAGGGGGCCAGCCCGGTGGCATAGTGGCTAAGTTCCTGTGTTCTGCTTCGGCGGCCTGGAATTTGCAGGTATGGATCCTGGGCACAGACCTACGGACCTATCATCAAGCCATGCTGAGGCAGCATCCCACATAAAATAGAAGATTGGCCAATCATCTTCAGACACACACACACGAAAGGTAGATATGACATGGGACTATTCACTGCTAGATCAATGGCAAAAACCATGAAGCAATGGTAAGTGCCTATTGACAGAGGACTATTTAAATACTACACAGCCATAAGAAACAAGATGAATGTCAAAGTGCTGACATGGTAAGATCTCCAAGACATACTGCCAAGTGGAAACAGCAAGTTGTACCATCTGAATTTTTACTCAAGGCATATTTTACTTCTACTTAGGAAAATTCTTGCATTAGTGACCAGTCCATTCATTCCAAGCAACAGCTGATAAAAACAATTTGGGTTATTTATTATTAGGGTTTTGTTTACAATCTTTGGCTTATAAACCTCCACTCACCCTCTCCCACCAATTGTGTTCGTTATTTCTATCAATATTAGGGATTTAAACCATGTGGTGACATGAGAAAACCTAAATCCTTTAAGATGATCTTTAAGGCAGCACATCTGACAATAGACTGCTTTCTTCCCTTGTTTACAAACTGAAATCCCAGCCAGTCCCATTCCAGGTGAGGTTTTATAGGACATTAAAAAAAAATCAGGAACAGTGAACTCTGTGCAGACAGGGCTTGAATCATGCTCTGGAACGGACGCTGACAACATCACTGAGGGCGTACGCTGTGCCAGGCACAGCACAAAGCATGGTCAAGCTGGGCCTCTGCACTCAGGACCCCTTTGCGACACGCCCCCAAAGCACTGCCATCTTTTCTTTGGGCTGCAAAACTGACTGTATTACAACACTGATGTGAACCTGCGGGGTTAAAAATAATAAACCAAGGACACCAGGAAAACACTGCTCTGCCAACACGAGCACCGTTTCCCATTGTCACTAGGGGCATGCAACATCTTCCAGAAGGATCCAGTGCAGGGAAGACAAGGGGGAAAATGGAGGAAAAAGTGGGAGAGAAAGAACAGAGATAGAAGACAAAGAAGGGAAAACATTCTGTAGGGTGGAGTAGAGCCCACAAACAGTAGAAACTCAATAAATACTTGCATTTACCAATGGAACAGAAAGCTAACCTACAGTTAGTGCTATATGCCCATCCTTCCGGAGGACGTTAAAAATAAATGGTGATAAAGCTGTGACAGAAATGGGAATTCCAAGGAAGTTCAGGACAAAAACCTGTATAAGCAATACTTTCTCAGGGTAAAAAAAAAATATGGAACCATATAGGAAGATATATGATAAAAAGGCCTGAACTCCATACCCTACTTCACCCCAATCCGCTCAGGTCTCCTGATTATGTGTCCTCCCAGAAATACGAAGCGTGCACCATCTTCCCCTTACACACCACAGTATCATAAAGTACATATTGCAACTTGCTTCTTCAGGCCTGGGGTCTGCCTGGCAAACAGGCTCACACAGGATGGCAGAGATACTGCAGCATGGTCTGTTAATGCTACAAATTATATTTAAACAACAAGATAGCAAAATTATTCCCTTTTATTCTGTGGAACAGACATCACAATGAATTAGCCATCCCTAGATACATCCAGTTGAAAATTCAAAAACATCAAAGATGAAACCCCTTTCATCTCAGTAAAGTAAATAGACATGTGCATGATT